CTCCTTTTCCCGGCAGAGCATCTGGTGGATTCGAACCGTGTGCCTCTGGGATTGTAGTTGCAGCTCCTTGCCACTAGGCCACCAGAGCTCCCCTCAGAAGCCTTCTTTAAACCAAATAATGATTTTGCTTTAGTAAAGAATGTCTACCTTAAGTACTGCGTTCCTTTTAACACTATCTATATGGACTGAATTGACAAGAACAGCTTGAAAGATTCTATAGGAAATTTAAGAGGCAGTGAGTTGGTGTTAAGGAATCCTGGTGGCCCATGGGTTAAATATTAGCTATTAATCAGGTCAACAATTTAAAACCACCAGCCACTTCACAGGAGAATGATGAGAAGTTGGTTTCCATGGAGACTGACCTTGGAAACTCCTATGTGGTGGTCCTAACCTGTTCTCCAGGGGCCACTACAAGTTGGAATGGATTCCATGGCAGTGGATTTGGGTTTAGGGGGAGCTTGTGTTAATAGGGTGGAAAAAAGAGGATGAGAATGACCATACAATATGAAGAATGTAATCTTTACCACTGGATTGTACACATAGAAGTTATTCAGTTGAAATGTGTTCTGTGCATGTTCTCAACAAGAGATCACAGTTCCACCTTAATGCACATGGGGGCACCAAATTGCAGCTACTCGCCAACTACTGCCTTGTCCCCCAGGAGGAAGAATGGCTTGGCACTGGGCATACAGGTTTTAAGAATCAGAGAGCCGGGGGTCAAATGGGAGCGACATGACATCTGTGAATTGCAAAATAGGGGTTTTTAGAAAGGTAAAATGAATCCACCACACCAACATGCCAAGCACACATCCCACCCCAAAGCCAGGTCAGCTTACACAATCTGCACAGGGTGAAGAATCCTGGAAAACTAGTGCCTGGGCCCAAGGCAGCCTATCTTTCCTCCTGTGCCTCTCTGCAGCAGAGAACTGTCCATATCCTCCCTTATATGGATGGCCCCTCCTGGGAAACAGGAACTTCTGAGCTGGCTCCACCCTCTCCCCTATCCCAAAGGGGCAGGAAAAGCCAGGTCCAGGTCATGCAGTTTGGAGATATCAGGTCAAGGGCCTGGATCTGGATTTTTCCAGTACACTGGTGGCTGGCTCAGACAAACGAGACACCCAGCCTTCCCTCTCCCACATCCAGGCTTGAATATTCAGGTCTTCCTCGTATTCTTTATTTGTTGATCCTATTCTTCTTCTCTTCAGATCAGCCTGTTCAGCCTCCCACATACATGGAGAGGTATCCCACTCAGGTCCCCAAATTAGCACCTCTTAGAAAAGAGGAGTCCTGGATTCAAAATGGCAAAGGTTTTGGCTTTTGGAGGGTCCTCGGGGATGGGGGAACTCAGCAGTTCAAGGAAGCAGCTGGGGTGGGGCTGCAAGTTTTTGAGGCAGCATCATCTGAGACAAGACAGTAAGGACTCCTGCATCTCTAACTCCAACCTGGGTGCTCCCAGCATCTCTTCCACCTCCTCCAAGATTTATACCCCCTCTGGTCTCAACTCTCATTACTGCTGAGTTGAAATCAATTCATAGCTGACCTTCCATTGGGTCTCCTTGGCTGTAAATTGCACAGGAGATTATCCATCTTTCTCCCACAGCCACTGCTGGATCCAAACCTCCAGAGTGAAATAGGAACCTTTGGGTTAGCAGCGAAACTCCTTCCAGAGAGGTTAGAAACCTGTTATTACAACTTCCTTGGTCGCCCTGGCCTCTGGGGTGGTGACAGCAGCCTTCTGTCTGGTGTGCCTCTTTGCCTGACTTCTCTTCCGCTCTTTCCCTTACTGATGCTTTCTTCCAATCCCCTACATGCAATTGTTTCTGTTTAAATACTCCCAGGAGTTTCCCAGGTTGGCCCTGACTGAAGACCTGTTTAAAGGGTTAGTCTCTAAAACTGGACTCTTAGACCTCCCCCTCAAGGCGCAGTGTTCCCCATCTCAATACATAGCCCCATCATCCACCCACAGTTTGGGACACAAATTTAAGTCAATTGGACTTCTTGCATTTCCACATCCATGTCATCTGTATGCCCTGTGGTTGTAGCGCCCTGCACACCCTGTACCCATTCCGACTCCTTCATTACCACTTTCCTGATGGGCCCATTGTCATGGCGTGTCCCCTGCTGTGTTTGCCACCTACAACCTACTTTCTACACCAAAGTAGAATTTGATACATCGGATCCTTTCACATCTGCTCTTATTGTCTGAGTTTCCCATTGCCCTGAGAATAAAACTGAACACCCATTCTGGAGCCCACAAAGCCTCTGCCCGTCACCAATCCCCTCTCCTCCTCACTCAGCTCACACTAGCCAGCTTTCTGATCCTTGCAACAAAACAAGCTGGTTAACCACATCAGGGCCCTGGCTGTGCCCCCTGCTTGGAACAGCTTCCCACAGCTCTTCCCAGCCCTGGTCCCTCCTCAGCACGAAGTCCTAACTTCTCTGAAGATCTGACTGCCACTAGCACGAGGTCCCTGACTATCACCTCCTGTTGCTGTTCACTGCAATTCTCTGAAACCAGCGGCCTCAACTCTCTTGGCATGTGATTGTCTCCCTTCACCAGAACCTACGCTCCAGGAGGTGAGGAACCTTGCCTGACTGGGTTCCTGCTTAGCACAGAGCAGATGCTCAATAAATAATAGTTGAATGTCGACGACAGAGGCCCTATCTGGGAACCCCTGAAGGAATGGGTGCCAGGGTCTCTAAGGAGAGTGTGTCCAGGGTCCCCAAGTGGGAGGGCCCCAGGGATACCCCACCAGGGGCCCAGGATCCTGAGGCTGAGCCCATGGTAGGTCAGAGGGACATGCTGGTGAGGTTGTCCTGGCTCAGCAGGCCCTTCCGGCCTCCTCCAGCCCCATGCCCACTGCCCCCAGCCCCGCTGCCGACTCCGCAGTACTCGTGGAGCCTGTGCCTCAGCGTGACAAGGGCTGAGCCCAGGCAGGCACCGTTGGGGGCATGGGGCCCACCAGGCAGCTGAAGCAGCAGTGTGGCCACACCTGCCATGCCATCTTCAGTGGGCTCGAGGGTGATGGGCCCAGCTCGCAGGCCAGCAGGGGTGGTGGGCAGGGCTGGAGGGCAGCAGCCCCCTCCCACGGGTCCCCAGGGCCCACCAGCCCCTGTCAGCAGTAGAGGTGCCAGGAAGGGCTCAGAGCGGCGGAAGGCAGGTGGTGGGAGTCCAGCAGGCTTCCAGGGGGGCGCCGAGGCAGCTGGGTCCGGTGGGAAGCAGACGGTGACCTTGGCGAAGGGACGGCTAGCCATCTTGGTCATCTCCTGCAGATGCCGGCGCTGCTCTTGCCGCTGGTCCAGGGCCTGCTTGGCCTTCCAAAGCAGCACACAAAGCGAGAGGAAGAGGAAGAAGCAGGAGAAGAAGACGGAGAAGAAAACAAACAGGTCGATGTGGGCCTGGTCCTGCCGGAAGAAAAGCAGGCCTTGCGAGTCAGCAGAGCCGTTGGCGCCGGGCCCGCCTGGGTCTCCCACACCCAGCAGGAGCAGGTAGAAGCGGCTGGACTTGAGGGCGTGGTGCTCATGTGGGTAGGTGATGACCAGCCGGTCCCGCACGCCATGCACCACCAGCACTGTCGAGGGCTCAGTCACAGTCACGTAGGTGATGAGGCCATGTGGCCACACCTCCCGCACCCGAGGCTCTGCCGGGGTGCCCAGCCCACTCCCAGTCCCAAGTGCCCCTGGCTCCCCGGACCCCCGGGGTCCACCATCAGCCGGGGGTGGTGGAGGTGGGGGGGGTGGTGGGGGCTGGATATGCACAGTGTGGACGCCGGTGTCTGGGGCCACGCGGACCACAAAGGTGTCATAGGAGGTGGAGACGTAGAGGTCCACGGCCCCGAAAGTCACATCCAGTGTTAGGCGGATGTCCACATTGGTGAACTTGGGCTGCACACCGAAGAGGACGGTGCGGCCAGGGCCCAGGGCCCGGCGCTTGGGCTCATGGAAGCAGTTAGTCTGGGACGTGGGGTCCAGGCAGCATTCTTGCTCCACAGAAATGAGGCGGTAGCACTGCTGGCCTCCGAGCGGGCTCCCATGGAACGACTCCCGGCACTTGGCACACTGAGGACAGGACAGGGCAGGGCGGGGCGGGACGTGGGGGGGGAGGCTATCAGCGCCGAGTCCAGAGCCGGAATGGCCCCATGTAAGGCTAATATGCTGGGCTTGCCAATGAGTACCACCGCTTCCTGTGATGGCCCTACCCTCTCCCCTGGACCTCCTTGCCATAGTGTAGGTGTCCCCCAGGCCCTCCAGTCCTGACGTCGCCCATGACGTAGCACCCTGATGCCAAGGCCCCAAAGACTTGCAGGCTGGGCCATGCCGAGTGCTGTAGCATCCTGGCTCTCCCCCCTCACTAGCTGTGTGACTCTGGCCTAGTGATGGAACCACAATGAGCTTAGACCCTTCCTCTGTACACAGGTCCTGACCACGCCACCCTCAGAGGACAGCAACATCACGTGCACAGCACCACGCACAGGCCCTGCCAGACTCCCTGTCCTCCAGGCCCATGCATGACTGGGCTAACCTGTGGCCGGGAGAGCTCCTCCTCACTCCTCTGCTCACTCTTGCCCTCACCTCTACTTGGTCTTTACTCAGGTGACACCTTTGTACCTTTCTTGACCACTCATCTCCAACATTTTCAGCTCCTCCTTTCTGCCTACTTTTCCTCCTTATCCTGTTTCTCATCCCTCCTCTAACCTTCTGGGCATTGGTTTTGTTTTTTGTTTTGTTTTTTTAATTTTTATTTTATTTTACTATTTTTTGTGCATGTACTGTCAAATCAGGTCTGACTGGTACAGGAGGAGACTGTCCCTCCTTCTCCAGCAGAGCATCTGGTGGATTCGAACCAGGCACATCTGGGATTGCAGCGCAGCTTCTTTCCACTAGGCCACCAGAGCTCTAACCTTCTGGGCATTGTTGATCGTGTCTTTGATTCCTCCAGGAGAAGGTCAACACCTTGAGGACAGAACATTTCCCTGCTAGGTCTCCAGAGCCCAGGACCCAAACCAAACCCACTACTGGGGGGGGGGGAGGGTCAATGCAAACTCATAGAGACCCTCCACTGGGTTTCTGAGGCTGTAAATTTTTACAGAAGACAGTCCATCTTTCTCTCTCAGACTGGCTAGTGGATTCAAACTGCCAACCTCTGGGTTAGCAACCCATGGTGCACTACACCAGCATGGCTCCTTAAAGCTTAGTGCAGTGCTGTAAACCCACTGCGTCAAGAAAGCAAAAATCCTGGTTTACAATAGAAAATAACACATTGGGACCAGTGAGGCATGGATGTGCAGGGGTTAAATGACTTGGCTGCTCACTGAAAAGTTGGCAGCTGGAACCCATCTGCTGCTGCACGCGGTGGAACACACCAGCCACTCCTTGGGAGAACAATGTGACAATCCTCTTCTGTGAAGGTTTACAGCCTCAGAAACACCTGCTCATGGCGACGCTTCATTGAGTTTCTGAGGCTGTACATTTTATGAGAAGAAACTGCCCATCTTTCTCCTGTGGAGCAGCTGGTGGATTCGAATAATCACTGATGTTTGAGTTTGCAGCTCAACTGTGTCTCCAGTGCATTATACTCTGGCATATACCAGGTGCTCAATAATGACCGTTATTATGATTGCTGTAAACCGCTGGAAACGGCTCAGGCTTTGGGACTGAATGAATGTTCAACTAGGCTACCAAGTGTGACCTTAGGCAGGTCACCTCCTGTCTCCGAGCCTCATCCTACCCATCAAGGCTGCAGCGTAACCTTGACAAGCTGTCCATATCTATGCTGTATCTACTGCATCCGAGTACAGCTCCCATCCTGGCATGTCGCAGACAGTGCCTACAAAATAGATACTGCTGCTAGTATTGTTAGAAGCTAAAGGAAATGCTACTTCAGAGCTGGAGGGGGAGGTGGTCTGATTGCATTCCTGGGGTTCTCCATGCAAGCAAAGGCAAGGAGACTTTGGTTTGTGCATCAAAAGCAGAAATTCTGGTCTAGGATAGAAAATGACATCTGGGGACCAGTGATGGTGGTGCAGCGGTTAATGCACTTCTACTCCCACCAGCCTCTCCACGGGATGTGGTGGTCTCCTTCCACAGAGTCTTAGGAATTCTAACGGGTAGTTCTACCATGTCCTACAAAGTTGTTGTGAGTCAGAATTGACTTGACAGCAATGGTGCTTGACTGCTCACTGAAAGGCTGGCAGTTCGAGTCTCCTTAGGTAAAAGATGTGGTGGTCTGCTTCTATAAAGATTTATAGTCTCAGAAACTCTACAGGGGACTTCCACTCTGTCCTACAAGATTGCTATGAGTTGGAATCAACTCCATGGCAATGGGTTTGATTAATTCTCAAGACTTGTTACATTCTGCCATCATTCTTAGTGCAGCTACATCACTCATCTTCCCCAAGTGGACACCAGGCGCGGTGGGGGCTGGTATCTACTTCGGGAAGATATGGGGAGCATCTGGGAGTCTACAAAGGTGTGTTTTCTTGTTTTGGTTGAGGTTTGGGTATGGGCTGTTTGCTTGTTTTTGTGTTTCGCTCACAATTGGGTGTAAGCTGATTGGAATTGGCCTTGTATTTAAAAAGGGCAGTGGGTTGCCAGTTTGGGGCTGGTTCCACTTGGGGAAGATGTGTGAAGCAGTTGGAGTCTACAAAGGTGTCCCTTGAGCCTGGTTTTAATTGTTTTCCATCAAACATTGTTCTAAGTTGCATAGCACTGGTGTTACAATTTGCTGTACAGAAGTAACTCAAGGTTGCTGTGATACTAAACACTGTGACACTGATATGTCAAATGCAATAATGGTTACCCATGGTGGACAGTGTATGGTGGAGAGCCCAGATTAAAATAGCTTTGGAAGCAGGAGTGTCATCCACTTCCGAAATAGCTTGGCTCTGGAACCTCTATGAACTTAGAGAAATGATGACAGTTATACAACAGGGTTCAGGTCTTTCATTCATAGGGTCACTATGAGTCGCCTATGACTCAACAGCAGTTAACAATAACAACATCACTCATACCACATGCAAACAAAATCCTGCTGAAGATTATCCAGAAACAACTAGAACAGTTGTTGACAGAAAACTATCAGAAATACAAGCTGGGTTTAGAAGAGGCACTAAAGACATTATCACCAATGTTAGGTGGATCTTGGCAACAAGCAAAGAGTACCAGAGGGATATCTATCTGTGTTTCACTGTGCAAAGGCATTTGAGTCTGTGGATCAAGACAAATTGTGGTTATCCTTAAGGAGAATGGGAATCCCTGAACACTTGGTTGTGCTTATGCAAAACCTATACTTGGACCAGGAAACAGTCCTCAGAACAGGGCAGAGAAAACATTAAGTGGTTCAAAATTAGGAAGGAAGTGCATCAGGGATGCGTCCTGTCCCTTTTCAATCTATATGCATAACAGATTATTTGGGATGCTGGGCTTTATGGGGAGGAAGGTAGCATCAGGATTGGAGGAAGATTCATCAACAATTTGTTATGTATATGAAACAACCCTGCTTGCTGAAACTGAGGAAAACCTGAAGCACTTGCTGCAGAAGGTCAGGGACTGTAGTCTTCAATATGGGTTGAAGCTTAACATCAAGAAGACCAAGATTCTCACTACTAGGACAATTTGCAGCACCAAGATGAATGGAGAAGAGATTGAGGCTGTTAGAAGTTACAGCTTGCTTAGTTCCACAATCAACACTCTTGGCACCAGCGGTCACGGAATCAAAAGATGAACTGCATTAGATGAATCTGCTGTCAGGGACCTTTCCAGGGTACTGAGAAGCAACAAGGTCAGTCTAGGGACTAAGGTGCGCCTGATCCAGGCCATGGTCTTTGCAAATACTTGCTATACTTCAGAGATCTGGATAACAACTAAGGATGACAGAAGAAGAATTGATGCCTTTGAGTTGTAGTGCTGGAGAAGAGTTTTAAATATACCATGGACCGCCAAGAAAACAAATAGGTTTGTCATGGAAAGGTTTCTCCTTAGAGACTTGAAGCTCTGTCTCACTTACTTTGGGCATGTGGCCAGAAAGACCAATCCTTGTAGAAGGACATCATGCTCAGAAGGGTGGAGGGACAGCACAGGAGAGGGAGACCCCAGATGAGATGGATTGCTACAATAACTGGGACAATGGAGATAGGTGTGTCGGAGTCAGTGAGACTGGCTCAGGAAAGGGCAAGCTTCAGAGCTGTTGTACACAGGGTTGCTATGGGTCACATGAGACCTGATGGCACATAACAACATCATCTTAGAGGTATGATGTTTCTGCAAACAGGCTAGGAAGACAGTAAGGGATTTCTTCTTTCTTCTGGAACTGGAGAGGGAAGCTAGGTGAGTAGGCAGGGATAAGCTTCAAGGAGAGAACATGAGAGATATCCTCCATAGGAGGCAAGTCTAAAACAAGGCAGCCAGCAAGTTAGTAAAGACAGTACTTGAGTCTCCTTTGTACAAAAGGTACCTTCAACTAAAAAGGAATTTTAACCTGGGTGTTAGAACTGACAGCCCCAAGCTATTAGACAGGAGCTGCCTGCCATTTGGGAAGGACTTGTCTGAGAATAAAGATGACCATGGAGGAAAGCACAGTCAAGGTGCAGGGAGAGAAAATCTCATCAGTGTCAACACCTGGATCCAGTTATGCCTAAAGGCAATTCTAGATCTCAGTTCTGAGAGCAAGAGGTTTGCCTTTATCGCTTAAGCTACTATGAGTTTTCTGGCAATTTGCAAACTTCAAGTTGTGACTCTAACTGCTTACCTCTAGTCTGAGAGCTCCCTGAAGGCAAAGGGCAACCTGTGGGTCCCACGATCACTGTCCAGGACCTCAAATGGACTGAAACTCAGAATCAATCTATCAAACTGACATTGGTCTCAAGACAACAGACACCCAAATTCTGTCATATGTAGGGGCTGTCAGCTACCTTACTCCAACTCTGATGATCTCTCTGGGGTGGGAGACTCTGGGGCCAAGCTTGCTTTTCCAGCCATACCTGGTACTTGTAGCAGTCCCGGCGGTCACTGGGGGAACTGCCCTGGCATGTGCCTGTCTCTGTGTTGTTCTGACAAGGACAGCCTGTCCCGTCCTGCTCATTACATGTGTCTGCGTGGCCATTACACTGGCATCTGGAAGAAAGGGAAGTAGAATAGGGCTACAGGGCTCCCACCACTTGCAGGGACCTGAGCTAGATGCTACATCTGGGAGCCAGAGCCTTTGCCACCAGCTCAGGGGACACTGAGGCTCACAGAGGTGAAGTCATTTGTTCCAGGTTACAGAGGTTTCATTGGCAGAGTCAGGATTTGAACCCAGGTTACACTGGCCGCAGGGGATGGAGTGTGGTGGTCACCTCAGGACTCTGCCCTCAGCAGCTCCCTCTCCTGCTCTGCCCACCCATCTTAGTCTGAACTGCTCTGCAGCCTGGGTTCCAGCACTGGCCTCTGAAGTAAGAGATCTCCTATACAAGTTCTGCTCACCCCTGACCCCAGCCTGGGCGTTCCTGGGGGATGTTGTCCCCTCCTGACTGAGGGCAGAAGTTGGAGTGATTCCCATTGAGGAAAGTGAGGGTCCCAGGGCCCCATCCCTTCTCACTTGGTGCACTTCCCGTCCAGGAGGAAATAGCCATGGAGGCAGCTCTCACACTTGTCCCCATAGCTGTTATTCTGGCAGTTTACGCACACGGCCTCATCCTCACTGGGGCCCTCTGCCACCCAGTTTTCAATCTGGTCAAGAAAAGACAAGGTGATCACAAATGGGCAGGGACTTCCTCCTTCCTTAGACCAAGGAGTTCAGGTCCCCAGCCTACCCCTCCCTCAGACCCAAGAGTCTGGCCTCCAGCTTCTCACCTCCTCTGGATCCAGAGAATACTTCTCAGGCTCCCTCCTGGCCATTTCAAGCTCCTTCCTGGAGACGCAGACGTGGCTGTTGCCACGACAGAAGGCGTGACAGGGCCGGCAGGTCCCACCTCCCAAAGCTGAACCCACAAACAGTGGGAGGCACTGCTCACAGTGGCTGCCCTAGGGATGGACCCAGGACACAGGAGTCAGAGAATCCCAGAGTTATGGGGGCACATGGAGAGACATGAGGGCAGGGAAAGGGCAGGCTGAAGGCAGGACAGGAAGTTATGGAGCTCGGCCACCTGGTCTGAGGAGCACCGGCCCCCACCTTCACTTGCATACTCCAGTGACAGGAAGCACACTTTTCCCAGCTTAAAGTTCCAAACTCAGAAAGACCTTCCCTTCACTACCCCAACTCCTCCCACAGAGGAACACTTCCTGGCTCAGCACTGACACTCCTAATTCCAGGGCAGTGCCCCTGTCTTCAGATGGCATCCTCAGTCTTCTCACATCTCCTGGGGATGGAGCTTGGCCACTCCTTCCCATCCCTGGCTCAGCAGGCTGGGATCAGAGGCACCAAGGTGCATGAGATCAGGAAGGGGCTGCAGTGGGGGGCCCACCTTGGTGTGGTTGCGGCAGAGTAGACAGTGGTCACGTGCCCCAACGCCAGCACACTCGCTGTGGCGGTTGCAGCGACACTCTGTGGAGCAGTTGCGACCAACAAATCCAAAGTGGCAGCGGCAGTGGTCGGGCTCCACGCATGAGCCATTGACACAGCCCTGGGCGCACACAGGGCGGCATAGCCCGGTCACACTGCAGGGCAGGGACAGGAGTCAGGGCAGGTGTCCAGGGGTCCTCACCCTAGTTGTTCTTCCTATACCCAGAGTAGAGCCCACAGTCCTCGGGGTGGCCAGGTCTGACCCACAACCCTCTTCTTCCACCAGTCACACATCCCTGGTCTGACCCATCACTGTCACCTTCAGAAGTCCATCTCACACTCCATGGTCTCTCAGGGTCCCCTAGTAAACTAATACCCCTTCTGCTCCAGGTCAAGCTCACCTCCTCATGGCATGAATTCCTTCTGCTTTCCTGCGTTGATCTCTATCTTTCTTGTCCTTTACCACTCCCTACAGTCCCTCTCTCAAGAAGTTCTGGTGGTTTAGCAGTAAGGAGTTGTGCTGCCAACTCAAAGGTACCCAGTTTGAATCCACCAGCCACTCCAAGGAAGAAAGATGGGCAATTTCCTCCCTTGAGATTTACTGACTGAAAGCCTACTGGAGGGTCAGCTGTAAGTCAGTTCTGGCTTTGAAAAAACATAACAATATACACACTGGCTCTCTCATCCTACTGCTCCTTGGGTGGCCTGGCTGCCCTTCTTGCCAGCTCCCCTCCGGGCCCCGCCCCTCTCCGCGCCATGCCCCTCTCCAGCTCCCTCCCCGGCCCGGGCCCCGCCCCACTCTCCCTCCCAGTCCAGGCCAGCACAGCGCTCACTTGTCCATGGTGTAGCCTGTCTTGCAGCTGCACTCATAACCATGGGGGCGGTCGTGGCAATTCTGCGTCTCGTTGCAGTCATGGTGCCCATTTGCACATTCATCTTCAGGGGGGCAGGCCAGGAAGGCCCAGGAGGCCCCAGAACGCCCACACGTCAGCCCTGGCACCAGAGATACAGGGATTCACCTGAAGGGTCCTGGAACCACCCCCACCGCCCGGAGTCCTCACATCTACTTCCTCTGGGCACCCTTGCTCTCTGTACCAGTGCATGCTCCACCCACCTCAACCCCTCTCACCTTCACGAGGGCCACTGAGTCCACCCTCCAGGCAGCGGCCACCACCATCCTGGCCCCCCCAGGCGCACCAGCCACACTGAGGGCGTCGTAGGCACTGGGCACACTGCGTTGCCTGAGCACAGCCCAGGGAGCAACTCTCTGGGCCCCGGAGCAGACGCCCACAGCCTCCGGCCATACACCGCAGGGGCAGGTAAGAAGGGCTGAGACACTACACCAATAGGGAGGGGAGAAAGGGGGCAGGAGAGCGGCAAGGAGAGACAGTCAAACAGCACATCCCGGACCTCATCCAGACTGCACCTCTTCCCCAAGCTCTCACCCCCAACCACAAGCAAGTGGAGCAAGGAGGCACCAGCTGGGCACACCACGTTCTCCTGTGCTACCCCCCTACTTCTCATAACTACAAGTGGAGACTGAGGGGTCGGGCAAGGGAGGCCCTTGAAAGTAAAAAAAAAAAAAAAAGATCCTATGTCTGGAAGTCTTCCTAACACAACCAAACAGCTTAGCTTAACTAGTGAAGAAAGCCTGCCTGGAGTAAAAAGAGGAAATCAATGAAGACAAAGAGAATAGAATTCTTTTGAAGAGCAGAACTGACTCTGCAAGGTCCCCTGTGTTCGCCCTTGCTGTCAGGTGTTGGCAGTCCCACTGTGGTGGTAAAAGCTTCTGTGGAAAGCCCCTGTATCTGAGCAAAGGCCTCTGTTGTAGCCGGATGGCTTATCCACCTGTTTGGCCGTCAGGGTGTGTTAGAACAAGGCTCTGCCACATCACTTCTCCTAATCATTACATATGGTCCGCCGACAACTTGGATGGATATTTTTAAAAAGTGTTTGAGAATCACAGCTATCACATAAAGATTAAGTATAAAAATATGCAAGAATTCACTACATTTTGGTGGGGAAAGTACTTAGAAGAGCACGATGCTGGAGAGCAGAGCACAGTGGCTTTCTGAGATTTATTTCAAAGACTTTTCTGGGACACTTGAATCAATAAATATTTTTTTTAAACTATGCAAAAAAAAAAGAATATCTTCCTTAAGTATTAAAACCTTTTAAGATCTCTATAGGGTCAAGCTGATAACTTGAAAGGTTAGACAGGAACTTTAGGGGACGCAGCCATTTATGTTCCCAGAGGGAAAACAGTAACTCAGAAAAGGAGAGTTAGCATCTGTACCCTCAGAGAGTGGAAGCATTGTCACGGAATTATACATCTGGGAATAGCTAAATATTGACTGGCTTACGGTGGATAACTTCAACAAAGAAAACTATAGAAAGAAAAGAAAGAACATCATGTAGGTCCAGGCTGCAGAGGTTATCTGGATGCGAGGCACAATGAGCTAAGTACAGACAAAGGTGGAGGGCAGGAAAGGGCAGATGCAGAGAGAAGTATCAATGAGAAAAACATTCCCAGGTGAACAGATGGACAGACAGCAGTCTAGGTACTATTTCCAGTCGCCTGTGAGACCTTCCAATTCTTGTATTCCAGAAGGCACCACTGGAAGTGTGGAGAACGCCCTGTATCATATTAGCTAAAGAAACTTCTGTTTCTTACAACCAGACAATCCCTGAGAAAGACAGAAACTAGTATCAGGCAAGCCATAGATGCTTAGAAAAATATGGACCTAGCTGTTGGGGCAACAAGGATTCTCCCAGGCTGGGAAGGTGAAGAGGCCTTGGCAAGAGACAGTGCCATAACTCATGAGTCACACCGCTCATTATTCTAGGGACCCAGACAATACGCACAGTGAGGTCCCAACTCTTGGGAACTTGCCTGGCAGATAAGAGCATTTTATTTACTGCTTGGGCCTTAAATAAAGTATAAGAGGAAAGAGATTAATTCAGGCTGTCTGAAAGCACTTAGGAAAAAAAGCAGAGCAACCATGAGATCCTGAAATAGAATCCTGATTGCTGTGGCTGGAGCTCCGAGCCCACGGAGGTTTGGGGCCAGCAATGAGCTGAGACTTGCTACTGCCAGAGTCAAATTCTCTGCCAGCCTGGATGTCTAGTTCTAAATTTAGTGCACCGACTGGCAGACAGCAGGGCAATCTGGGAGAATAGGCTCTCGTCGTGGATAGTACTGTCTGTTCTGCCCTCCTTTATGTATGATGATGCCCAACACCCTAAATGGCATCTCCCACTTCCTAGAAGAGATGTATGAATGCATCCTGAAAGTGAGATCTAGGTTATCTGTTACCCTGTGTACAAAGCCTAGCAAAGTGTCTGGATGAGGTGGGTTCTCAATAAAGAATCTGCTGAAGGAAGCACAGAAGGAAGAAAGTAAGGTATTCAGCTAAGAAACACGAATGCCAGGGAAGATAGTACTTTGCTACCCACCCTTGGCTCTGAGACTAAAGTCATAAAAAAGAATCATACCAGCTGGTTAAATCTGACAGCTCAATCCTAACAGGTTTCGCCTGCACATGTGTCATGTTTGGCCTGAATGGTAGGGGTGTGTTGGGTGTTTTTTGTTGTTTTTGTTTTGTTTCTTTTTTAAAAAAAAAAAGCCAGAACTATTATTGAACATTTGATCAAGGAATCAAAAGATGAATCCTGATCAAAAGGGACAAACACAAAGAATGATCAGATTTCAATTAGTTCCTGCACATCCGGGCTGTGGGGGGGCAGGGGTGAGGGGGGGACGGCATCAGAGATTCAGAACTCTGACTCATGACAGCAGGGGGGGGCCTCTATAATGTCTTCCAACATGCTGGATAAATAAATGTCTTTGTATCTGTCACTGGGACAGCCTAAAGCATGCTGGGCAGAGGCAACCTGAGAACAGGCTTCTGGAAATGTAAGACTATATGTTGGCTGCCAAGGGGTGTGCGCCCACACCAAAGCCCCTTCTGCAAAAATCATCTCTATTCCTTTGTTTCTTTCTTTCTTCCTTATTTTTCTTTTCTATCCCTATTCCTTTGAAAAATCCTCTGTATGAGACCAAAAGGTCAATGATTGCTTTAAAACAAAGATACGACTGTCTGGGAGTGCAGGGAAACTAGATTCATGGAAATGGCACCAGAACAGAAATAATAAGGACGTTCCAACATTGTGAAGACTCTAACCAATGTTATGGAACAATCTGTACAAGAAACTACTAAATGGGGCCCAAAAAGCTGGGCAAGCTTTCACCAAAAACCTACTTTTAAAAAAAAACACAACAAAAATCACATCACCACAGAGTCACAGACAAAGGGTGGACCTGAACAGTCAGGTTTGAAACATGTGCTCTAACCTTTCCCTGGCCATATCTTTGCGATCCAAGGCCGGACACTGACCTCAGGAGCTGAGTCAGAGTCTTTCCTTGATGATATGAAAGCCCCAATGAACACAGAGATGACGACTGCGACTTCTGGATTTAGAAAGTTCAGGGAGCTCTGGTGAACTAGTGGCAAGGAGCCGCAACTACAATCCCAGAGGCGCACGGTTCGAATCCACCAGATAAATACTCTGCCGGGGAAGGAGGGGCAATCTCCTCCTGTACCAGTCAGATCTGATTTGACGGTACACGCACACAAAAATAATAAAATAAAAATTAAAAAAAGGGTTGAATGGTCACCCATTAAAAAAAAAAAAAAGAAAGTCATATAAGCTCAGGGTCAAGGGCTACCACTGAAGGCAATGTTTGTTGATGAAGCCGAAAGAAATCAGAGGATGGAGACACGTGACAAAGAGCTGATATTAGAGTCCATGTGGTCCAAGGCGGACAGCAGGAGTATTTCTTATTCTCAGATCTCACCAAATGCCAATTCCTCACAATAAAAGCAGCTCGAGTGAGTTTCTAATTCTTCCAAAGAAAAGATTCCAAAAGCAAAACCAGAAAGAGGTGAAGGAAGGAAGAAGAAAAGGTTTGGGAGGTGGAGGGGGGATAGTTTTAAGAGTTACAGGATGGAGAGAGAAGACCATAAACAAGAGCTGGAAAGGTACAGGGACTGGGTAGTCTAGAGAGGTAACATGGAAAGAAGGCAAAAAGGGGAAAGCCACAGGCCAGGAGGGAAGAAAGATTGACAAGAGATTTTAGGAGGCGAGAAGGTAAAATGTGAGGAGAGGAAAGGCATGATTAGAAGACTAGAGCAAGAAAGAGGGAAGCAGCAGCAGAAGGCAGTGGAGGAAAGGTTAGTGCTGGGGGCAGAGAGGAGGACCCGCCCACCCCAGATGCAGTACCTGCTGGAGGCTGCTGCTCCATACACAGTGCTGCCAGCCCCCATCCGCACCCTTGGAGTCCAGGCAGGAGGTACAGTTGGGCAGGAGGTGACAAGGGGTAGGGCAGGGGAGTGGGGGCGATGACTCCACCGGCATTGGGGACACGTTCAGCAGGGAGTGGCTGAAGCACGTCCAGTCATATGTAGGCTGCACTGAGAGGATGCGCCGCGTCTCCCCTGAGGGAGGGGTAGTGGGCAAAGACTGAGATCCAGTCTGGGATCCCAGCCTCTTCCTCCCTCAGATCCAAAACTCCAGGACCCACTGTACTCCTGGCACAGATCAAAAGATCCAGGTCCCCAGGATGCTGGGCCCCTCCCTCCCCTAGCATCTGAGGAGCTTGGCAGTCACCTGTTCTCTTGAACTGGCGCGTCCACATGCACTTGCCCTCTCGCGTGCACTGCTCGCAGTCTGCAGCCCCGCACGCAGCCTCGGAACAGTTTCCTGCCCAGAAGACCTCTCGCTGGTTGATCCGACAGTCATTCTCTGAGGTGCAGGAGCCATTGCGCCCAATGCAGGCACCCTCAGGGCAGTTGGTACACCACTTACAGCGGGGGACAGATGCCTGGAGCAAGATAACAGGTTCTGTGGGGGCCTCTGAGGTCCCTAACATCCCTCCCGACCCTGCTCTTCCCACTCAGTCATAATTGAAGAGTCTGGTGATTCTCGAGACACCAGGGTGGACAGACTGGTGGCAGGTCCTCCTGCTCCTCTGTCAGCCACCCAGTGACCTCTGGAGCTCACCTCTCCATCTCCAGGCTGCAGCGTCCGGGGATGGCGGGCCAGGCACTCGCTGCAGGTCCGGAGCCGACGACACTCCTCAGGGGAGCGAGGCATTGGGGAGCAGGGGTGGGCCCCACAGCCCAACCTGCAGAGAAGGGCCTGGGCTCACTCACATCCAGTCAGGCAGCACATGCTCCTCCTCATGGGGCCTCCTTAACCGCAGCATAGCCCTCCCACCGGCTCCTCCCTGACCATCACAGGCTGGGCAACACATGGCCTCTTAACCCCCTTCAGCTACTGAGCCCTTCTGGCTCCTGAAATTTCAGACTGTCCTCTCCTCTCCACTTCTGAAGGCCAGTTCAGGCATCTTTATTCCACTCTCCTCACCTGCCTCCTCCTCTCAACATTGTGACTCTCACCGTGGCCACAGGGAATCGGCCTACCCAGGACAACCCCTGTCTCTGCCCTCCTCAAACCTCTCGAGATGTCCACTGGCCAAAGTGGAAACCCATACCCCTTACCCCAAATCACTGGAGGCACCTGTGTCAGAATGTGTCAGGTTTGGGGAAAGTGGCACTGACTGTGTAGTTACAGAACACCTCAGGGAGCTAGGAATCAGCCTGTGGGTGGGCTGGTCCGTCCCCAGAGCCATGGTAAGAACCACAGCACGCCTGAAGGGCTGCACAGAATCCATGAAGAGCCCTCGCCAGTTCAGTCACCTGAGCTAGAACTAAACCAAGGAAAGCTCAACCAGCTCCACCAGTCCAACTCTCTCACTCTACAGACAAGGAAGGGGCTTATGGACCTGGACAGAGCCAGCTCCTCTCTGAGCAGAGGACACCTCACCAGTGTCTCTTCCCCACCCCCCTGACCCAGATCTTGGTTCAGTCCCCTGCTCCTCCAGGAAGCATGTCGGGATGACACCCCAGCTCACAAACAGAGCTCCCACCCAGAGCCCCTCCTGCCCGCCTTTGCCTTGAATGACCAACAACCTGGGAGCAGGTGCTGGGTCCTGTTGCCTGCTCCTGGCCCAGCCCAGAAGCCCCACTCAGTGAGGTTACCTGTGGGCTTGGTCTCCAGACAAGCAGGCCCCATGGCACCAGGTACAGGCCCCAGACTGGTTACAAGCTTCAGGTGAGGATAGCAGGCGGCAGGGGTCGGGAGGCAGGGTCAGGGCCAGCAGGCGCCCTAAGGCCACACCCCCAAAACCCCCAGAGATGTAAAGACGGCTTCCTACTGCCGCCACAGCGTGGGCCACGGACTCCTCCATTGGGGGTCCCACAGAGGCTGGGCCTGGGGGGAAAGGACAGGTTTCCAGAGACAGATCAGGAGACACAGAGAAGGGACGCATACAAGAATGTCCAGATGACCACAGGGATGCCAAGGGAGGAGAAGAGTCAAAGGGAAGCAGAAACAGATGCAGATGGACAGAGAGAAGAAAGACAGGGACAAGCAGAACAAGAGACTCAGAGCTAGACTCCAAGGAAAGGGGAGAAAGAAAAACTGAGCAAGAAGTGGGGCAGAAAAAAACAGAGCAACGAACAAGACAAATTCAGAGAGAAAAGGAATTAGAGACCGAAGGTCAGGCAGAAAAACAAAGACAGGCCTGGTAACCCACAGGCAACTGCTCACAACATTAAGCAAAATAAAAAAGCAGTCAGGAGTGTATACAAGAGCTCTGGCTGCCAGTGGGTAAGGAGTGGTGCTGCCAACCCAGGCAAGGCTGGATCCACTGACTCCTCCTCCAGATGATGGGTAGTCTCCTCCCACGTGATTTACAGCATCTGAAAACCCTGGAGGATCAACTGTGAGTTGGTTCTCACTCAGAAGCATAGAACAACGTAAGTATAAATAGGCCTCTGTTCTATGACCAGCAGAGACTGGAAGGAAACATCTCCATCCCCAGGATAATGTGGCTGCCTCTAGAAAACAGGGTTTTTACTTCCTACTTCACAGATCATGTATAATCAATATTCTTACTTTCATAATCAGAAAAAAAAAACATTAACTTCTCTGAAAAAAATTACAAAGTCTCCACTCTACAGCTGTTCGGAAGTACTTGGAGGGGACAGGGATTCTGGTAGATCTGAGGGGTCTGAGTGAATTCTAGGGAAAGAGGATGCAGGATGGGGTCTTCCTGGGGAAGTTATGAGGACTCACGGGTGAGGTCGGGCAGGAGCCAGGCGTTGCAGTTGACCTGGTAGAGCAGAACGTCACTGCTGAACTCATCGGGGTCCGAGCGCCCCCCCAGCACCACCATGGTGTCCCCCAGCAAGGCGGAGGCATGGAAAAGTCGCGGGCGGGGCTGTTGGGGAGATACAGGCCAAGTCGTCCTGTCAGGGCCCACAGGCCTTGGCTCCTCACACTCCTTCCTCAATCTCCCCAACCCCTTCGTCCAGCCCAGCGAAGCTGCACCTTCCTTAAATCTCACCTCCTCCAGGAAGCCTTCCCTATGTCCCAGAACCTCCACATTCGAGCTGCCCTGGGGCACTCAGCACAGAACACTGAGACAAACTGTCCACAGGTCTCCTGGGAGTCCCACCGCACAGCCGGGTGGGTGACAGTTCCACCTCCCTCTCTGTTCAGCCACCTGAGGCTTAAAAATGTGTGTGGATGGAAAACATGTTGTCCCTAGCCAGCACACATGGGAGTTCACGGTCTCCCACATATCATCTTTGGACTTGGAAAGCGGGGAGCACCAGTGCCATGTGTTTCACCTATTATGGACAAGGACAGAAAGAGGAGGGGACCTGCCAGTGTCATACCAAGAGTCAGGGCAGAGCTGAAACTAGAATCCATGCCTCTGACAGGCTTTTCTCTGAGTCTGGGATAGAGGGGGGGGGGGTTCATTTTAGCAGACTGGAACCCAGGCTCAAGTCTGTTCCTGGGGCACTGGGAAAGGGCCGTCCTGCCCACTACATCCTGCCCACTACATCCAATCTGTCAAGACATTGTTTCCTGACCTTTGCCCCCTGAGAAGGGGCCAGCAAACTCCAGGTGCGGTCAGGACAGTGCAGGGAGTAGAGCTCAGGGGACGGGGCAGCCAGCTCCACATGGAAGCGGAAGCCTCCAAATACGTAGAGCGAGTCCGTGGCTTCGTGGTAGATGGCTGAATGACCATAGAGACCTGGGAGCAGAGGGATCCAGAGATGGGAGGACAAGCAATGAGGAATGGCTCCACCCAGCCTGGGCTCCTATTCTCAGCAGTGACCTCATCACCCCATCAGATCAGAGACCTGGGAGTCCTCAACTCCCTCTACCCCCTCAGCAGAGAGGATAATCATTAGAGATTCTGGGAAGAAGGAGGAAATGTCAGGAAGTTCTGATAGACTCTTAGGAGGAGACAGAGTGACCAGAACGTTCCAGGAGATGGTGATCAAAGAATGTAGAAGGCACAATGAAAAGGAGAGAATACCTAGAGGGCTGGGACTTTAGAACCTAGAGGTGACAGACAATGCTACTGAGGCAAGAAGTGGACACAACACCTGGAATGAGGAGTGGAAGCTGAGAAAGCAAACACCTGGAGAGATGGTGCTCTGAGGATCCGGGAGGGGCAGTGACCACAAAGTGCAGGAGGGGCTAGAGAGCCTCTGTAAAGCCCGGGAAGGGCAAGAGGTCACAGCAGCTGCACCCCTTTGGCCAGAGGCTCACCTGTTGGGGGTGTCCCACTCTGGGCTCCAGACACCCAGGTGCCAGTTGCCAGTTGGTACTCGAGCAGCTGCTGATTGAAGCCATTTTCGGGGGAGTAACCGCCCACTAGAAGCAGAGAGAGACCTCTGCGGGCAGTAAGGGTGTGACCCGCGACTGCTGGCAGCTCCACGGTCTGAGGGGCCTACGGGAGGTAGAGGTCAGGGGTCAACTTGCAGAGTGACATGAGACCCAAAGCTTCCCACACTGTCCTCTCACCAGGAGGGGGGTAGTGAGCCCCTCAGGACCTGTCAGATCCCAGGAACTGGACCAGCAGGGTCCTGGCAGGTGCAGGGAGACGCCTTGTTACTTCTATCTGCTCTTTGGTCACACAGCTTGTCTCTCCGGGAAACCCCTGCTCCTCTACCCTCACCCATGTGGCTGGTGATGGGGAGAGAGGCTGGCTGTCCTGCTCCAGGTTGTGTCCTGGTCTGGCCCAGTACTGGCTTGCCAGGATGAAACAGTGACACTCAATTCTGGGACTTCTGCTGGAACCTCTGGGGGTCAGGCTAGCAGGAGCCCCAGTGGCCCACCCAGCGTCACAGCCCAACTGTGTATGCAGAGGGGTGATACTCACCTTCTCCTGTCGCCATTGAAGGGTGGTGAGGTTGAGGACCCAGAAGTCTCGGGTGACACCCCCAGCTGTGAGCCCCCCCAGCAGGTACATGGCGCCTCGGCCAGCAGGAACATAGGCAGCCGCATGGAAGGAGCGGGGGGCTGGGCCAGGGCCCCCATCCTCAGCGCCTGCCAGCATCTGTGTCCATCGCCGCTCACTCACTGAGTATCTGAGACCACGAGACAGGGAGACTTCAAAAGCAGTCTCATTATACGGGCGTCTTAGTCCCTTAGAATAATGCTCCCAGTAGGCTTCCCTTCAGGTGACCCTCTTTCACAGGTGTCCCAGCATCCTCGGGGTGATTCCCCACACATGGGTTTCCCAGCATCTGTTTGGGGTGACCTTTCTGTAGGAGTCATTTCAGCACCGCCTGGGGTAGCATCACCTAAGTAATACAGAGCCTGGGGGAAGCCTCTGGTGGAAAGCGTCCCAGCATTCATTAAGGGGCTTCTTGTGTGACAGATGTCTATCCCAGCATTCCTTGAGACTTTCTTTCATTCAGGTACCCTAACTTCCCAGGGTCATCCTCACCTATATAGATTTCCCAGCAGCCCCTGGGGCAGGCCCAGGCCCCCAAACATCCAGAGTGTGGCATCGGGTCCTTCCACCATGGTGTGTCCCAGGCGGTGCAGGAAGCGGCTAGCTGTGTCCTAGGGCAGGAGGAGGTCAAGTGTCAGGCTAATGTCACGACAAAGTGCTAGGCCTGGGCACAGGGCCCGGGGTTGGGTTCTGGGGCATGTCCCCATGAGAGTGGGCAGCCCCAACTCACAGCTGACAGGCGGCTGTCCATGAGGGTCTCCCAGACGAGCTGCCCACCATCCAGCTTTGTGGCACAGTCGGGGCCCCCAAAGCCCTCCGCACAGATACACACACCCAGACTCTGGGGAAAACAGGGTAACTGAGAGGAGCACTGACCCCCACACCCAGCCAACCTGGCTGCCCCGTTCACTGTACCTGGTTGCAAGTCCCTGCCCCACTGTGGGCACTGCAGTTCTCAGGACACAGGGCCATGCGGCAGTGAGGACCGGCCCAGCCATGGGGACATCGGCAGAGCCCAGCACCTGCAGCCCCATCCTGGGGCACACACTCTTGGGGGACAGGACAGCTCCCAGGCCCCCCTGAGCCACAGCGGGCAGAGCCCACCGATGCGTTGAAGCCCCAGGACGTGGAGCCATTGGCCTCCCAGTGCAGTACCAGCAGCCCTGTGGGGGAGAGGCGGAGTGAAGCTGACTTCCGGGCACAGATGCTCTCCAGCTGTCAGGAAAAGCCCGTGTAATTGGGCAAGGAAACAAAATATCCCCATTTATCATCACAGCCAGGAGTACCGGCCCTCCCTTGGGCCTTGTCGCTTGGCCAAACCATCAAAGTCCTTCGATTTTACAGCCTGCATCTTCCCGTCCATTCACTGCTCGTTACCCCGGCTCTGCTGCCATGCAAGCTGGCCTCCCATCTTACGTCATGACACCTGCACATCTCTTCCCAGGCCCCTACACCCCAACTCCTCACAGGAGCCTGGGTGACCCCTTGAAACAGAAATCTGGTTCTGTCACTGTTGAGCTCCAAATCCTCCGACAATTCTCTACCACTCTCAGGTAAGGCCACGCCTCCGAGGGGGGTTAATGACATGATACATAAACAAGGAGGGGGCGGGAAGTCAAAGTCTGTGAGAGGATTCACTCCCGTCACTTCTCAGCATCCCTTGGAATAATGTTGCCGTGGTGCTAGATAGGTTTCAGCAGAGCATCCAGACTCAGACAGCCTAGAAAGAAAGGCCTGGTATTCAACTTCCAAAAATAAGCTGATAGTTGATTACTATAATAATAATAATAATAATACAACATTATTACAGTGGGCCAGTCCACAATGGATCATGGGATAGTGTAGGTGGTGCTTCAGTTTATTGTGCATGTGTTGAGGCTGCCTTAATGGCAGCAAAGAATAAAAACTTAAACTACCCCTCAACAAAGTCTTATTTTTGAAGTTTCCTTCTGGGACCCCCAAGGCCCTGCAGACCCTCCGACCACACCAGCTCCCACTCTCTGGCCCTCTTCAGCTGCCTCTCCAGACCTTCGAGGAGCTGGGCATCTGCACTTCCCTCTGCCTGCAGATTGCCACCAGGCCTCCAATCAAATCTGCCGCTGTCATCACACACTGCTGAGCTGATTCCAACCCAGAGCGCCCCTTTGAACAACAGAACAAAACCCTGCCTAGCCCTGCACTTTCCTCACGGTAGCTGCTGGCTCGGAGCCCACTGCTGCAGGCACTGGGTAATGCATTGTGCTGACAGGCTGCCTCTCTTTCTCAGACCTTCTATTTTACCATGCATGATGCCCTCCGCAGTCACACCACATCTCTACAGAGAAGCGCTTTCCTACTCCACAGAGGCCTGGGGCCCATCCCCTTGGCCCACCAGGAACCCACTGCCCCCCACAGAGCCCATTTTGACTGATCCTCATACACTTTGGCAAGTCCAGAGGAGCCAGTCCTTAGGGAAAACCTCATGCTGGGAAAGGAGATGGTCAGTGCAAGGGAAGCCAGCTCTCAACGAGATGGACTGCCCCATCGCTGTAACAGTGGGCTCACAAACATCAGAGACCGGAGGATGATGCACAACAGGTTCAGATGTTGTTCATAGAGTTGCCATGAGCCACAGTGAACTTGACATCACCCAACACCACCACTCAGGCTTTTGAAGCTATACATCTTAAGAGCAGCAATGGCCTCATCCTTCTCCCATGGAACGTGGTGAGTTTTGAACTACCAACTCCAAGGGCAATAGCCCAACATGGAACCTGCTCTGCCGCCAAAGCTACTTTTCACACAGGCTCATCTCAAATACTTAGTAAACATTTGTGGGGATGTTTTGAGGGAAGCGAAATCAAGGGCATCATAGTCCGAACTGCTCACGCTAAGGAGGCCTTAGTAGTAAAAACTTAAAAACTAGTAAAAACTGCCTATCTAAGGGCACATGGTTCAAATCCACCAGCTGACCCACAAGAGAAAGATGGGCGGTCTCTTCCTATGTAACTTACTGCCTCTGAAAACCTGCGGGAGGGTCAGCTATGAGGTGGTTCCAACTCAACAGTACACAACAAGGAAGCCTGGGGTTCCATGCAATCTAGACCTTTCTCTAGCAACTTTGGGGCCATTCTGATTCATAATAATAAGAAAATAATCTCTAAACATAGGCCCTTTAACTTCCATAGCTACACATTATTTCTACTATAATTCTGCCAAACTAAGCAGAGTCTCTCAATCTCTCAGCACTGCTGGTGTTTCAGCTCCAGTAATTCTACATTGTGGGGGGCTGTCCCAAGCACTGGAGACTGTCGAGCAGTACCCCTCATCTCCACCAAGTAGATGTCAGTAACGACAATCAAAATGTCTCTCCAAATCCACCACTATGAAGTCACTTCCAATTCCTGGTGACCCTCCAGTAGGTCTCTGAGGCTGTAAACCTTTACCTTAGAAGACTGCCCATCTTTCTCCCACAGAGTGGCTGGGGGAATCAAACTGGTGACCTTTTAGTTAGCAGGCTGACACATTACACATTAGCCCTCCAGAGCTCCAGAAATTGCAAATGTTCCTGGAGGGGCAAAATCATTCCAACTTAAAACCAGGAATAAAAATCCCTCACACCAATCACATTTCTGTGCCCCAAAAACACAGCTACAGGTCCACTTTCCAGAGATGCAACCAGTCAGCACAACTCTCTCTTTTCCCCTCCAAATTGAAGAAACGAAAACCCAGAATAGCAGGCACAGTGTTACCCAGCAAGTGGCAGAGTTGGGTTTGAACCCAGGTCTGGGGGCCCACCTCAGGCAGAAAGGTGCAGGGATAAGGAATGCAAAGACCAGGATGAAGAGGTCTCAGGCCCTCGTACCAGACAGGGCCTGCACAGTCAGCGGTCTGTCCCGACGCTGGCCACAGAAAGCAGCAATGAGGCTACGGTCCGACTGCACGACACCAGTGTCCAGGAAGCGAGGGAATCCATCAAAGGCTAGTACGTAGCTCAGCTGAAGGGTTGCAGAGTCAAAGATTAGGGAACCATGAGGATGACAAAAAAAAGGTGCATAGGATCTGGGAGGCAGAGGACTTCAGAAGGATAGCAATCTGGATCTGGAAAATGAGCTGTTTAAGGATCTAGGTCAGGACTGTCAAGCTGTGGCATGCTGGCCGCCATGCCTAAACCTTTATACATAGCAGACACAGGTAATCGATCAGGATTTTCTGAATTAAGCTGTGTCCTCATTACATAGCTCCAGTCAGCCATTACCAATCAATCAGAGTTGGCACAAGGTGATGCTATTACAGTGTCTGGTCCAGGAAAGGGAGTGGAGTGAAGGGAGAATGGGGACTGGAGACCAGATAATAGGAAGTGATTTCAGAAGTGGATAAGTCTATGGGTTTAGACAAGAAGAACTGGGGATCTGAGGAACAGAGTTGGGAATGGGAAGACAAAAATCAGGGGAGTGAGAGGCAGAGTCTTCTGGTGACCCAGCTTGTGTTGGGGTGAAGCTAAACCTTGGAGCTTACCGTGCATGGGGTGCTACTGTCAGGGGAGAAGGTGAGGGTTAATGGTGGGCACAGGGTGCCAGGTGCACATGGCTGCAGTACTTCAGTGGCTGACACAACCCACACGCAATAAGAAAGGCCTGGCCAGGCTCTCGTTGCCCCACCACCAGGAGGCAGCAGCCCCCCAACTCGGCGTGAGCCCAGTGCCACAGAGGACACGTTGGTAAGGAGGGCGCGACCCCCACACTCCCGGAAGCAGGAGCCACCAGCCCTGGGGAGAGAGGAGAGAGAGCATCAGACAGGCCTGTATCTCCACTCCACATCCCTAAGACCACCCCAGCCCTCCCCTGGCTGGCTGGCTGGCTCACCGGGGGTCCCCATAGTAGCCGGGGGAGCAGAGCTGGCAGTGGGCGCCCTCAGTGTGGTCCTGGCAGAAGCAGAGCCCGCTGAGATTGTCGCAGTGGCCCCGGCGTGGGTCCCCATGCCCATTGCACTGGCAGGGCCGGCAGCCGCCTGAGCCAGTGGCATTGCCAAAGCTGCCAGGCCGGCACCGTTCACAGTGTTCCCCCCATGTCCAGTCTGTGGAGGCCCCAGAAGATGGGACACAGAGTTAGGGGCAGGCAGGGGCCCAGACCTTAAAGCAACTGACTGCTTTAAAGAGATGAAGCTAGGGAGCTGATGGGGAGAAAGAGTAAATCCCAAGAAGGGGGTATGAGGCCCAGCCAGAGAGAGGTGGTACTGAGGTCTGTTTGGGGAAACCCGCCTCAAAAGGGAAGAATGGGGCACCAAGAAGAGAGAAGGATCCCCCCTGTAAGGTCAGGGTAGAAACGGCCAGGAGCGGGTGTCTGATGTGGGGGGTCTCACCCTGGCACTCATCACAGACACCAGGCCCCTGTTTGCGGCAGTGGCTGTGGAAGTTACAGCCGCAGTCCCGGGAGCAGCGCGGGGTTGGGGGTCCTGGGGCAGGTGTGGGTGGTGGCAGATCAGATGTCCAGCCCAGGTCACACACGCAAGTGAAGTCAGGGGGGCCACTACACGCACCATGCCCGCAGTCCTCCAGGCACCTGGGGGTCCAGAGCTTTGTTGGGGAGAGGGCTGGGCAGGCCTAGGGCCTCCAAAAGACCCCATGTAAGCCTGTCTTCTGGGTCTTAGACTATATGGGCGGCCCTGTCACCAAGGTAACCAACCCCTCACGTGTGGTATCTCCTGGCTCTGTAGTAACCCCACATCACCTCAGGTAAGCTTTTCTCTATGAGAATCCCCCTTTCACTTAGTTGGCCTCCATCTCCATGGCAATGCGGATCCCTACAGCCCACAGTCAATGGATGACCCATCTCCATGGTAACTAGTTAGTGTTGAGGAGCTGGTCTCCACAAACACTCTGTGACTCTAATGAGGACCTAGTGACTACTCTGCAAGGTAAAGCCACTGGGCTACCTGGAGGCACTGGTCCACGGTAGGAGCCTAGGACCCACTGCAATGCGCCTCTGGCTCCAGGCACCCTCCATCGCCATGGCAACCTTGCTCACTCACGTGCGGTTGCAATGTGTGCTGCCGTCGCCCTGGTAGCCCCGCTGGCAGTGGCACTCGTAGCTGAGGGGTGTGTTCAGGCAGGTGGCCCGAGGGTGGCACCGAGCCAGGCCCAGGCGACACTCGTCCACATCTGGGCATCGGGCATAAGCCCAGCGGGCCGGAAGGGCCACAGGCAGTCCCAGGCCCTCCCCTACCCACAGGGAGCAGTTACCCCCACCGAGGGGTCCTGAGAAGTCCCCCTGCAGGCACCTGAAGTGGCAGATGGAAGATGAGGGAAGGAAGTGGGGGCATCAAGAAGCAAGAGACATGGACAGACACGGTGAAGCAGAGAGCAAGAAACAGAAACATAAGCAGAGCAAGAGGAACAGAGAGGAGAAGAAATGGAGGAGGGACAAACCCCAAGATAAGTTTCAGGCAGATTAAAAAGCAAAGAGTACAGAAAAGAGGGAGACAGAGACGGGGCAGAAAGACAACAAGAAATGAGTGACCAGAGACAGGGAGAAGGCAAAGAAGAGGGGGTGAGGAAAGAGAGTGTGGGAAGGAAAGTGAGGGGCAGATAAAGAAGAGGAAGTTAAACACATGACTGGTCCTGTTCACCTGTCGCTCAGTGGCCCTGCTGGCCCCTCACCATCCCCGCCCACCCGGCCCTGCCTGCTGCCCGACTGGTCCTGTTCATGGTTCACCAGACCCTTCTGCTGCCCCTGCCCACCACCCACCCGGCTCTGCCCTCCTAACCCTGCCCACCACTCACTAGCCCTGCCCACCCACCCACCTGGTCTGGCCCTCCCAGCCCTGCCTGCCCAGTCCGCCCGCCGCCCGCCCAGCCCTGCCTGCTGCACACCGGCCCAGTGTCGGGTTGTCCTCGTTGCCACACCAGCCACACTCATGGCTTTGCAGACACTCGCGGCAGGTCAGGAAGCGGTCGCAGCTCCGGCACCGTGGCTCCGAGTGCACGCTACAGGGGCACAGGTTGTTGATGGCCGCCCCTCTCCACCAGCCCAGAGGGCCCCCTTCTGCTCCCCACACGGGCCACACCTGTCATCCCAGCCACGACAGCCCCCATGTGGGTACCGGGCCAGATAGGCAGCAAACAAGAAGCAAGTGTGGGTGGACTGGCACCAGGCGCACTGGCTTGAGTTGGCCAAGCAGTCATCACAGGTCAGGCGCCTGGGAGGACAGAGGGCAGGGGTCACGCAAGCCCAGGCCCACACTCCCACCTTCACCTGCTCCCTGCACCCCACTGGGCTCACTGGCTGCAGAGTGGGGGACACTCTTCTGGGCTCTTCAGAGCACCCCGGCCCCGGCCCCGTCGGCTGCATGTCGCGTCCCCTTTTCGGCTGGTACTCTGATGCCACTCGCAGAAAGGGTCCTGAGGGGCGGGGAAGGAGGGGCTAGTTTCCTCCCACAAACTACCTCCTCTGAGCCCACCTCCCTCCCAAAACTGCCAGCCTCTCTGGATATTCTATTCCAGACAAAGATAGCTGTGGTTCCCACCCACCTAGCATCCACCCCCTTCTAACAGCAGCACTGTTTCTGGGGACTCAGAGGGGCTAGCTTAACCCTCGGGATCCATACAAGGGCAAGAAGGCACCACTCCGAACACACAAGCTCAGTGACTGGTCCAGGAGTCTGCACAAGCCTCAACTAGACTCAATGAGACATCACTTGGGGCTTCTGCTGACCAAGGGGAGGATGGAATGAGAGAAACCTCTCACCCTCAGGACTCAATGGCTGAGTTGTGGGATGCGAGTCTGAAGCCATGGTGGCTCCCTCATCATTCACAAGAAGTGACTCCCCAGGGAGAAAGCAGAGGTGACATGGAGGGAGTCTAGAAATCTGCTCTCAGGCTCAGCTGAGTCCATCAAGAACGGGAGGCTGGGTGCCTTCTCTCCATATCTCCTCTCAGGGACGGATGGCCATCCTCTTAGGGATATAACTTTCTAATAAATCTATCATTACTATTTAACCTCCCCCCAAAAAAGGGGGATTTCTGCCCTTGCAGTCCTGACTCCCAGAGGTTTGTCTCCTCTGCTGCCCCCCTGCCTCCCTACCCCCTGGAGTCCCTCAGTCGCCCAAGCCAACTCTGAGGGGCTCTTTTCTTTTTCTGGTCTGTCCACTCTGCGGCCTGTCCCGAGCTCTACCTCCCCAGTCAGGTAGTCACCTGGGTGCAGGCGTGGCAGTCGCGGTGCTCCTCACAGAGCGGGCAGAGGGTGGGCACCAGCACCAGCAGGGCCCCGTCATGGCCACAGTGGGCCCCGCCCTGGCGCAGGTGACAGGTGGCGCTGTCCAGGCACCAGCCACAGCCTTGGTCTGCCAGGCAGCCCAGGCAGGAGGAGTAGGAGGTGCAGGCCGCCGAGCGATAGGGCTCCAGGAAGAAGAAGGAGATCTCCTGGGAATGGGGCTTCTATGAGGGCCAGGAGCCCACACCCCAATTTGACAGGGGGTTGGGGCTTAGGCTTGGGGTGGGGGCTAGGTTTTGGGGGTAAAGACTTTGGTTAAGGGTTTGAAACAAGATTGAAAATGCAGGCACACAGAAAGTAGAATTGAGAGGATCAATAGATTAAAAGGGATTAGGATTTGAGAAAATCTATATAGAGATTGAAGGTCAAAGAATGGAGCTCTGGTAGCTTAGTGGTAAGGAACTATGCTGCCAACCCAAAGGTACAGGGTTAGAATCCACTAGTTGCTCCATGGAAGAAAGATGGGTAGTTTCCTTCCCTGTGATTACTGCCTGTGAAAATCTACTGCAGGGTCAGCTATGGGTTGGTTCTGATGCGACATACACAACAACTAGATACCGGAGGCCAAAGAATAAGGGACAGAGGCCAGGGTCAATAGGGAGAGAGAGTCAGTGATACGGGCAGGGCCAGAAAATTCATTCAGGCATAAAAGAAAGTTAAAGGTGGGGCTCAGGGTTCAGAGGTCAAGAGTCCAGGGGTTATAGTGAGAGCCTAGGGAATTGGGATTAGGGTTATGGGGGCTCAGAGAGGCCCAGGGATTGAAGCCAAGGCCAGGCCACTCACACTGCCACCTGGCACACCAGTGCGGTCCCACAGCAGCGTGAGCTCACTGTGCCCAGGGCCCACGGAGCCATTGAGCTGGCCGCGGATCTCCACTGCATACTTGTGGCCGCGCCCAGGCAAGGGGAAGAGGCGGGCAGAGCCTGGGCGCTGCAGCCGCCTTGTCTCCTTCTCCTGCTGGGCCACCCAACGCCCCACCTCCTCCTGTGGAAAGATGGGCCTCCGAGTCCCTTACACGCCAAGAAGCTCCGAATGCTCCCAGACCCAGACCCTCGGGAGCCCATTTCCTCCTTAGGAGAAGGTAACTAGGTCACTTAGACCTTCCCCACTGTCTTCAGATTTCTTCCCCACAAACTGTTCACACTTGAAAACCCACTATTTTGACTCCAAGGTCTTTTCCCTTCCACAAGAAGCCTCCGATTTTCCCTTCAACACCCTCTGCAACAACCCCCAGACCACCCTATGCCCACATCTACCACAGACATTCCTCAATGCCCAGGCGCCCTCACCATGTTCTCGGTGTCAGGGCCACGGGCCATCCGGGCCAAGACATGAAGACGCTGAGCACGTGCCCACACAGCCACATCGTCAGCTCCCGGCCCACCAGGTCCACCTGGCAGCAGGGGATGGATGAAGCCGCGGTAGACCAGGGACACGTCTGTCTCTGGGTTGGGAGTCAGGGTGATGGTAGTACTGCGGACGATCGAGACCTGAAACAGCCGGGGATGAAGGAAGTGTGTGAGGGTCTCTAGACTGAGTCCTTGTGCCCTTCAGGTCACATCGGAATCCCAGTCAGCCTAACCTCCTTCCTCATTTTACTGAATGAGAGACAGAGGACCTGAGCCTGACCACCTGATTCACGTTCAAGGAGTGCAGTCAGGTCCGTCTCAGAGCCAATGTTACCCCTCATCCCTGATCCTCTACGTTTCATTAAAGGTGTGCACATGTGTAAAGAGGCCTCCGTGAGGAAATGCACACGCACAGACAGGGTTATGTGTAATCATGTACACCCATACTTCTGTTACATCACTACATATGACAAACCATGTGGGAGCACAATTACAGTGGCTTCCTAGACACACACCATCAATTCTTGTGATGGGTTTTAGGGTTTAAAAGCTTGGGACCACAGTCTAAAGGAACAATTTCTTCAACTGGTATAAATACTCTGCATCCTAATTTGCAAGTAGTGTTTGTGTTTCTAAAAGCTGGGCTATTTATTGGTCTCTATTGATATGGAGCAAGAGAAAATGAAGGAAATCAAAGGCTCAACAAAACTAGTCTACAAGACTAAATAAAAGCCCACATGCAAACCATACAGCCTAATACCAAAAGAGCTAGACGGTGCCTGGCTGTCCTTATTAACCATTCTCACTAGGACACAGTAGTTGGGTGCCAGGTAAAATGGAAAGAAAATGGTAAACAAAGCCCAGTTTCCTAAAAATGACAGCCTAGGTGGCCTAGTGGCAAGAAGTTGCACTGCAATCCCAGAAGTACATGATTTGAATCCACCAGATGCTCGGCTGGAGAAGAAGGAACAGTCTCCTCCTGTATCTGTCAGATCTGATTTGATGGTACACACACACAAAAAAAAATTAATTTTTTTTAAAAATGCCAGCCTACCAGCATGTCTTGGGACTTGGTCAGAAAGTGGCAAGAGCTGTAGTCAGGTGTCCAGTTGTCTACAGGTGGACTGTGGTGAGGCCAGGCCTCAGGATCTCAGAGTCCCCGGTCCTAAAGCCCACATTGTTCCCAGAACCTTTCCTGGCTTGTTTCTGGCAGAGCAGCCTAACTGTCCCAGTACCCCAGGTCTTTGCCACTCGTCCTGACCCCAGGCTGGGGATCTGTCCACCTCCCATGCTGCAGATGAACATGGTGGAAAGATGTCTGGGACAGGGCAGGGTCATCCCTCAGTCCTCTCAGAGCCTCAAGACTCCCTTCACAGGGAGGGTCAGCACCCCTGGACCTGAGGGCCCCTAGTTTAGAACTGATGCCGAAGGACCAGGCCCCTGTCACTGGGACATGAGGACTGTGTCCTGTGTTTCTTTGCCTCCTGGATTGTGGTGACTTTTGGTCACCTGAGCACACCCCCTTGTTAGCCATAGCAAATCCCCTCAGTCAGCTACAGGGCATGTGCAAATTGTGTGTCACCGCCGCCTCTCTCAGGACCTCTGGCTGACTGGGGCGAGTCCACCAAGGCTACACACACACACACACACAAATAAAAATAAAAATTAAAAAACCGTGTATGAGGATCCAAGAGAGGGTTGGAGCAGAGGACAGGCTGTGTGTGTGTGTGTAATCAAACAGCTGCACAATTTGATGGGTAGAGGAAAGGATGGGTAAAGGAAATGGAAAAGATCTGGTTGAAAAACAATGTATATGAACTTTGTAAGCAAAACAGTATAAAATAAAAATTTTATTTAAAAATAAAGAGAGAGAATGAGAGACAAACAATATAAAGCTGGGGGTAGGGAATATCTATGGGATACTATGCAACTGTAAAAAAGACTGAAGAATCAAATCCACCAGATGCTCTGCTGGAGAAGGAGAGGGCAATCTCCTCCTGTACCAGTCAGATCTGATTTGACGGTACACATAAAAAATAATAAAATAAAACAAAAAAACTGAGGAAGATCAGATGAGGGAAGACGGATGTCAGGCAACACAAAGGTTAACAAGGAAACAAAAACAGAAGCTGAAAAGAGGAAAAGATGTCTCCTCAGGCCTGACAGAAGACTTTCCATTACAGCCTCTTGATTCTGACATACAGTGCCCTGAAGTATGAGAAAACAAATTTGTTTGTCAAAGCAAAAAAAAAAAATCCACAAATATGATTCTGAAGCTTTGTAGTGACAAGCTCAAGAGGATGTGTTAAGTGGAAAAAAGGGGGGAGGGGTGGAAAGGGTAGTATGATATGAATAACATACTATCTTTTGTGCAAGAAAAATAATTAAATGTCAAATCTACTTGTACATGACTAGGATGACAAGAAGGAGGTAAAAGAAACCCAAGTTAATTTTCTGGGAAGAGCTAGGGTGAAGGTGAGTTGGAGAGTTCCTGGGGCCATCTAGGGGTGGGGAGCAGGGTAATTATGGAGAATTTTCACTCAGCAACTTTTAAATCACTGTGATCTCTGAACCATGAAGATTCATTACCTGGTTTAAATATATAAGAGTAAGCAAGAAAACAGTTAAGCAGAATGACCCACCAATTTCTCTCCCAGGTATATACCCAAAGAACTCAAAACAGGAATTCAAACAAAAATGTGTACAGAGTTGCTCACATCATCATTGTTCACAATAGCCAAAAGGTCCCCATCAGCTGATGAAATGCTAAGCCAGATGTGGTGTATCCACATGATGGACTGTTATTCGGCCACAGAGAAGGAATGAAGTACTAATACGTGTTGGAAATGGATGCACTTGAACACATCGTACACAGTGAGAAAATCAGACAGACCGCACTCCATTCCAATACCAGTTATTCCAAATAGCCACTTCCAGAGAGAGAGAGAATAACACGTGACTGCTTCACGGGTATAGGGCTTTCTTCTGTGCTGATGAGAATGAAGTAGACAGAGTGCTGATAGCTGTACTATAAGCAGACTAAATGCTAGTAATGATAAAGTATGTGATGTATATTTCTGTTATGAATATTTATTGTTGGCAATGATAAGTATTCCACCAGTTTTTTTAAAAATTTTTACTGGACTACTTGGGACTAAAGAATGCCCCAAGACCACTGTGCTGAAACGCTCTTCAAATTGTGAACTAAAACTAAGCGCTAAGATCAACTTGTAACAAACTGGCTCAAAAAAATACTATCACTCAAGAGCACTATGATTCTTGAAAAAAATCATCTCCTTGAACTGATGTGTAAAACTTCACTTCTTATTGTTGTTGTTTGCTACTGCTGGAACCAACCCCTAGCTGACCCTCCAGCAGGTGTTCAGAGGCAGTAAACTGCCTGAGAGGAGACTGCCCATCCTTCTCTCAGGGAGAATCTGGTGGATTCAAATGTGTGGCTTTGGGACTGTGGTGCTGCTTCTTATCACCAGACCACCAGAGCTCCCTAAACCTTCATTAAGAAAACAATTTTTTAAAAAAAGTATTATCTATTACAGGAAGCAGAGAAAGATAGTGGGAAGAATGGTGATACCGTGTGGAGACTATACGTGATCAAATAAAATGTGTATGAATAGGTGAATAGAAATAAAATCTACTTTGTAAACTTTCACTCAAATCATGTTCAAAAGATTTCTTTAAAAAAAAAAACACCACACAACTTATAAAAAAAGTTTTTTGTTTCTACACAAGAGCATTGTACTGCCGTGGCAGTTCAAATCCACCGGTGCTCCACAGGAGAAAGATTGGCAATCTCCTCTCATATAATTTACTGCCAGTGAAAACCACTGGAGGGAGGGTCAGCTATGGGTTGGTTCTGACTTGATGGCACACAACAACGTAACGGTGACTTAGTGGTAAGCAATTGTGCTGCCAAAAACATGAAGGTACATGGTTTGAATCCACCAGCTGCAATGTGGAAGAAAGATGGGTAATCTCCTTCCATGCAATGTACTGCTTCTGGGTCAGTTCTGACACAACAGTACGCAACAACATGTGAGTCAACAATTATTTTAAAACAAATATGAAATATAAGGGGAAAAGGAAATTTGTTGTTGTTTGGTGCTGTCAAGGCGACTCTGATTCGCAGTGGTCCTGAGCACAGCAGCGGAAGCCTCACCAAGCCTGAGCCATCCTCACAATCTCCCCCGTGCTTAAGCGCACAGTGGCAGTCACTGTGGCAGTCCATTTCTTTGAGGATCTTCCTCTCCTTCACTGACCCTCTACTTTTCCAAGACTGATGCTCTTTTATACAGACAAGCCCCTCCCGACAAATTTCCCAGAGTATGTGGGATGAAGTCTCAACATCCTTGCCTCTAAGGAGCACTCTGGCTGCATGTTGAGTGGAGATGGAACAACTGGGAAAGAAATAATCAAGCTGCTGAAATGGTGTGAACAATGCCATCTATGTTGCCAAATGATGTGTGCAGCAATTGTCAAATGGGAATCAAACTATTGTGTAAATCTTTATTTAAAAAAACAAAACAAAAACCACTCCGCAATTTTAAAAATCATCTATATGAGACTAAACAGTCAATGTCTATGTTAAACCAAAGATGAGACCAGATGAATGGAAACCGAGCCACCAGAGTGGAAATTATGAGAATGCTCACACACTGTGAACAAGGTAACTTGAGAAGTTGGTGAATGAGAACCTAAACTGCTGTGTGAACCTTCACAGGCAACACAGTAAGTATTATTCTTTAAGAAAGTGAATGGTGTGGGGAAAATACTCTTATTCAACAAGTAAAGTGCAAGCCTCAAATGTAAAGATTTAAGAGGTGAACACAGGGAGACAAGAGCTGAGTGAAAGGTGAATGCCAGGCCCCAGCCCTCTCCCATTCCACCCTGGGCCTGACCCCCAGCTCCCCACCTTGTCGGGCTGGGAGGCATTGGGCGGCTGCTGGAAGGTGAGCAGGTGTAGGCCGGGAAGGAAGCTCTGGGTGACACAGGCCTCCAGGGAGGTGACAAAGACGGGCGCTGGCCCCCACCAGCCCACGGTGCCAGAAATCTGCTCCCCACGGCAGCGGGCTTGCTCTGAGAAGGAGTTGGGAGGTGGTCAGCACCAGGTCTTACATCATCTGCTCCCCCACTGCCACCGGACACTCACCAGGCCGTGGGAGGCAGCTCTCGTTGTGCACACACCATCCCAGGGGGCCGGGCCCCCGTGGAGGGGCTGTGTTGCTGCTGAAGGCCAGGCATGCCTGGCAGTCACCCAGGAGGCGGCCCAGGCCCAGGCAGCTGGCTGCTGGACACTGTAGAAGGGAGAGGACAGGACTCTATGCTGACCGCTGACCTCTGACCACAGCCCACGGGATTGGAGAGGGGCTGTGAGCATGCAGGTGTAGAATGTGCCACAAAATAGAAGAATAAAGAGCTGAAGAAAGGGTAGGAAAGTGGGAGAGCCTGTCAGTCCAGAGACGGGACTATAAATTCAAAAGGAACTCAGCAGGTCGAAGAGTCAGGGTCAAGAATGAGGCTCTTAAAAATAAAAAAAAGAATGAGGCTCTTAAAGGTGAACACAAGACTCTTGGTGGGGGTAGTGCACTAGGGGTCAGAAGGTCAGGGAAGTGACTCACAGCCCCAGAGGGGGTTCCTGGAGGGGGTGCAGCCTGGCAGGCTCCTTGGCACCAACTGCATTCAGGGTCTCGGGAGCAGACGCTGTGGTCCATGTACATGGAACAATAGTCCAGGTGGTACTATGGAGAGACAGAGGACAAGACCTCAGCTTCCCCAGCCCCACTCTATCTGATCTTCCCAGGGAACCGTGACTGCATGGCAGCACTTTAAGGACGCTCACTGACCACTCACCCAGCCCCAGGATGGCAAAGCCAGGGACCCCCATCCCTCCTTCCTCAGCCCTGGGACCTCTTTCCTTCATCGTGTGTTCCCAGGAACCCCACTCCTTCTCCCAGACACTCCTTCCTTCACTTACAAGAGCCATGCTGCCTCTGTCACTACCTGTCTCCCTGTCACCCCAGTACTTACATCCGGGGCAGGTGCCTGGAACACGAATGGTGGCACCTTGTAGGCCATCAAGTCCCCACGGGGCTGGCCACTGTAGCCTCCAGCCACCAAAAGGACACTGCCACCAAGTACAGCTGCCACATGTGAATACCGACCACTGGGAGGTGCTGCTCGGCCTAGGAAAACAGATACCCAGGAACATCAGTCCCCCAGCCCCGTCTTGCCTTTCTCTGCTGGGGGCTGAGCCTGCCTCTACTAACTTTCATCCCAGCCTCCAGGCTCCTGCTTCAACCCCACCTGCCTCAGGAAACCTTCCTAGACTTCCTGGCCCTGCGCAAGCTCTAGATCTCTCCCCCTCTGAGCTCCTACACACCTGCCAAAAAAACAGGCAAAGGATAATCCCTAAGGCCAGAAAGACCAGGGTACACTACCTAAGACATAACCATTATTTGGTACTGGTGAGGAACAAAGTAAGAAGGTATCAAAAATCCCAGAGAAGAAATAAGGCCACAAGACTGATAGCCTACATGAGTCACAACCTCATCTACACTGAGACCAGAAGAGGTAGATGGTGCCCGGCTACCACCATTGACCATTCTGACTGTGATCAGAACACATGGTCCTGGATAGAATGGTAGACAAATGTAAAACAAAGCTCAAATTCTTTAAAAAAAAAAGAGAGAGAGAAGACTAACTGGACCAACTGAGATCACAGGATACCCCAATACTATTGCCCTGTCATTGTTAGGTGATGTTGAGTATAACCCATAGCAACCCAACAGATCTGAATCCCGTCCTATCCTGTGCCATCCTCATGCCTCCCGGCACACTAGAGCCTACTGCAGCAGTCACCATGTCAATCAATCTGGTTGGGGGTCTCCCTCTCCTTCGCTGACCCTCCAACCTTTGAAGCATCATGTCCCTCCTCCAAGGAACAGCCCCTCCTAGCAACAGGCTCAAAGTATGAGGCAAAGCCTCACCATCTTTGCTTCCAAAGAGCACTCTGGCTGTACCCTCTCCAAGATATATTTGCTTGTTCTCTTGGCCATCGATGAGATGTTCAGTGCTCTTCTTCAAAACCACAGCTCAGATGCATCAATTCTGTCATCCTTATTCATTGTCCAGAATACCAGAATAAGTAATGAATACCAGAACAATGTCTAGTTATGCTTTATTGACTATAAAAAGACATTTGACTGTGTTGATCATAACAAATTGTTGCTAACATTGAGAAGAATTGGAATCCCAGAGCACTTGATTGTGCTCATGCAAAACCTATACCCCAACCAGGAGGCTGTTGTGCAAACAGAGCCAGGGAATACCGCACAATTTAAAATTAGGAAAGGAGTGTGTCAGGATTGTATTATCTTTCCATACCTACTCAATCTGAGCAAATTATCTGAGAAGCTGGACTCTCTGAAGAGGATCAGAGGGAAATTTATCAATAACCTGCATTATGCAGATGACACAGTCTTGCTTGTTCAAAGTGAGGAGGACTTAAAGCACATGTTGCAGAGGAGCAAAGAGTACAGCCTTCAATATGGATTGTATCTCAATGTCGAGAAGATAAAGATTCTAACCACCGGACCAATATGCAACAGCATGATGGACAAAGAAAAGATTGGAACTGTCACCAGCTTCATCTTGCGTGGATCCACAATTAATGCCCTTGGTACCAGGAGTCAGGAAATAAGGAGACGCACTGCACTGGGAAAGTCTGTTGTTAGGGACTCTCCAAATTACTGAGGAGCAATGATGTCAGATTGAGGAGTAAGGCACATCTGATTGAGGCTATGGTCTTTCTGATCACTTGCTTTGCATGTGATAGCTGGACTATCACCCTGAGAAACTCTAAATCTTGAATGAAAAGCAGCCCAAGATTACCTCTTAGGAAAACAGCAAGGTGACACACAAAGTAAAGGTATCACCCACAAGGTCACTGCACGACTGAAAACCTACCCGTGTGAGGCCTAAAAAGCCAACATTTACTCTGAAGCAAAGAGAAAAATAAATGGGCTGGGAAACTAGAGTACTGGAAATGGAACAACTAGGGCACAAAGAGCAGGATGACACATTGTAGAAAATGCAATTAATGTCACTGAACGATTTGTGCGGCAACTGTCAAACAGAAGCCTGGGTGACTATGTAAACTTCCACCAGGAACATGATAAAATACTTAAAAAGACAGGCTTGGGTTTAAACACTGATCTATTGTGTGGCCTTGGGAAGACAACTCAACATCTCTGAGGACTCCAAAGCCCCAGGCAGCTTATCTGGCTCTCACCTGGTTTTATGTGTGGCATCAGCCTCCTCCTTACCAGTGGCTACCCCTCATTTTCCTCTGGGAAACTACCCTCTCCCACTCCCACCCCACAAGGCTATGGTCAAGCTGTCCCTGCCTCTTGCATAAGTAGAGGCTTAGCCAACCAGCTTCGCAGTAAGTAGCTCAAGGATGTATATGAGATCCAAGTCTGGGCTGTAAGAGTCCAGCCTGGGCGAGCTCTGGTGGCCTAGTGGCAAGAAGCTGCACTGCAATCACAGAGGCGTGTGGTTCAAATCCACCATATGCTTTGCTGAAGAAGGAGGGACAATCTCCTCTTGTACCAGTCATATCCAATTTGACGGTACACACACACACACACACACACACACACACACACACACACACACACAATAACTAACTAACTAACTAAAGAGTCCAGCCTGGAACCTATGCAATAGTTCTTGGCAAGGGGTGGTAGTGGTGGTGGAGGGGGTACAGAACACTCTCTTCCCCAAGTAGTCAGTAGGATACAATCAGGAGGTTCTGGTGACCATCTATGAACGGTAAACTACTGGAGACTGAAGAGAACTCAGGTGAGAACTAGAGATCTATGGATGATGGTCTCAGGTGAGTACCTGGATCCAGGAATAATCCTTTTTTTCTTTTTAAGAAATTATCCTTTTTGTTTATGTCAACTGAGTTAGGCTTACTTCACTTAAAACCAAGAGTCAGAGAAGAGCGACCTCTCAGCCCTCTTACTGGGCTTGAGACTCGGCCCAGTGAATCTCAGGAAGTGGAGGAGGAAGACACATCCAGGAACCTCACACCATGGCCCATGAGGCCTATCGGAGGAACAGGGAGAGGCTGTATAGAACAGGAGCCTCAAAAGCCAGGTTGGGCTTTATTGCTAATGATCATACACGAATTCTTTGAGACCCTTCCCATGGACTTCCCAAAGAATCAACTCTGTCTTGAAGGAAGTGTGACCAGAGTGCTCCTAAGAGGCAAGGATGGTGAAACTCTATCTCATTTGCTTCGGGCATATGTTCAGGAGGAATAAGTCCTTGGTGAGAGACATACTGGGAAAGGGAGAGGGTCAGAGAAAGAGAGAAAGACCCTCAAAGAGATGGACTGGCATGGCCTGCACGCCTCAGAGACGGCAAGGATGGTACAGGGTGGGGCAAGGTCCAGTGCTATTGTTCATGAGTCACAGTCGATTTGATAGTACCTAACAACTCCTTAAATGTTAATGTTTCTTCGTTACATTTTCTTCTGTCTCCTTTTTTGGAAGGATCAGAAAGGGGAGAGTGACAGAGGGGCCTCTGGAATCCATGGCCCCTTGAAATGATATGCTCAGTTTGTAAGTGCGAGTGTCTTTTTAAGAAGACTGCGGCTCTCAGTCTATTCTCAAAGCAGTCTCTGATTCAGTGTTAAGAGCAGCTTCTCCACATGAGCCCCCTGCAGAGCAGGACGGGCCCTCACTGGTTCTAGGAAGGCAATGTGCAGATCCCCTCATGGATCATCTGAATCTACTCTCCTAGCATCCCACGGCTGAAGCGCTGTCATAATCCTCATTTTACAGACAGGGAGACTGTCTGAGGGCCAGAGAGATTTGTTGCTGTTAAGTGCAATCAGTTCAGTCCACGTTCAACACCGCTCAGTCCTGCTTGTTTCTCACAACTGTGTTTGGGCTTTGTTTGGGCCTACTGTTACAGCCACTGTGTGGCTCCATCTCACTGAGGGTCTTCCCCTTTCCCCCTGATTCTCTACTTTAGGAAACATGATGCCCTTCTCCTTGGACTGGACCCTCCTGAGAGCATGTCCAAAATACAGATGAACTCTTGACAGAGAGATTATGTGTAGGTTTTCATACTGATAAGGCTGGTTGGGCCCTGCTGTCTTCACACTGGAACTAAGTTTAACTGTGTGACCTTGGACAGGTTGTGTCTCTTAAGCAGTTCCTTGGGGCAGCTGGAAACCAGTAAACCTAGACTGGAGCCTAGAGATGATGCTGCTAGAACTGCTTCTCTTCTCTATGGCAACAGTGTCCAAGTCCTGCCCTCAGCCCAGGTTTGCCTCCCAAGACCTGTTCCAACAGGACGTCCAGCTCACTGTAACATGAATCTTTGTAGCCTCACAGGGAAATAGATGGGCCTGCTCACCCTCAGGGGTCCCTGGGGGGGCAAGCTCAGCCCCTGAAACCCACTGGTGGCAGCCGAGGTGGTAGAAGAAGATGCCATCTTCGTAGCACTTTTCCTCCTGGTAATGTGTGTGGACATTGCCTCCTGGGAAAGGAGGAAGGAAAGGAGTAGGGTTGGCAATGTGGGGTAGCGTGAGGACCCCCAGGCAGTGAGCCCCAGCTTAGGCAAGTGGGGTCAGGAAAGGGTGCTCACCATACACCACCATGTAGTTGCCCAACACGCTGGCTGTGTGGAAGGCTCGCTCCCTCGGGCCCTGAAGACCATCCCGGCCCTTCAGGGTGGTCCACACACGCCGATCCACGTGGAAGAGCTCGGTGGAGTTCACCCGCACAGAGAACCTGCAGCCGGTGGGACATAGGGCAGAGGCTCAGGGCAGGAGGGCCCACTCTCCCTCCTCTAGGATTGCTTGGGGCCGAAGCTGGGCCTACGCCCTCTCTGAACTAGATGTTTTCCAGGTGCAGGACGGGTCTGACTCATCTCTTGGTTACCTTCAGAATCTGGACAGTGAGGGGATTTGAATGAGTGGACATACGTGGGAGGGAAGATCCCAGAATGAAACAGAAATCATGAGACTTTCCACACATTGGGAAGAATGTAACTAATATCACTGGACAATCTTTGAAGAAACTATTCAGTGGGAATCATAAGCCACTGTAAAAAGCACAGTAAAATTTTTAGAAAGATAAGAAAATGACTGAGTGAAAGAGTAAGTTAATGGGTAAAAAAATGAATGAATGAGTGAAACAGTGAGTAAATGAATGAAGGAGTGAGTGAGTATCCACAGGAATCGTTCTGTGGATGAAAACCAAAGAGGGGCTGCCAGCCCCCAAGTGTCAGGCCAAGCTGGCTCCTCGGGGTACAAATTGTGAGGCAGGTCACTCACCGGGCAGTGGAGGGTCGGTGTCCCCCATGGACCAGCAGGGCACGGGAAGGGGCATGGAACACCATGGAGTGGCCGGTGGCAGCAGGGGGCCGCCCGCCCATCGGGATCACCTGTTCCCAGCGGCCCCCACTGGCACCATCGAGGCAGAAACGGAAGAGGCCAGAGGAGAAGAGGTCATGCTGGGTACGGCCTCCAGACACATAGAGCCAGGTGTTGTCCACAAGGGCAGCTGCATGGCCTGCCAGGCCTGGGGGCCCAGAGGAGCTGGAGGAAGGTGGTGCCAGGAGCTCCCAGCGGCCCCCACCCAGAGGATTGAAGGCCCATACATCATTGGTGAGTGAGCCATCAGCCAGTTCACCGCCCATCAGCACTAGGGAGTCAAGCCAGGCCACGGCCACGTGGGAGTGACGAGCAGCCTGCAGGGAAGAAATAAGGAGACAAGGATGGAGGGGGAACTCGATGGAGACATGGACAAAGAGACGGAGACAGAGACAGAGAATGGCAGAGACATGAAAGACAGAGAAAGGAGGAAACGCTATACAGAGACACAGACACACAGAGAGAAGGTGAAACAGACATCAAGTCAGATGCACAAAGAGAAAGGAAGAAAGACAGACACAGAAAAACAGATACGCCAATCAAGACAAAGAAAAGAAGATGAAGGAAAGAGAGTAAAAGAAGAAAGAGCGGGAAGTTAGCAATAAAAATGATAAGAAAAAGCAGAGAGAGAAACACAGAAAGAGCTACTGGCCCAGGGAGATCAAGATGCAGAGACAAAGGCAGAAGAGGGTCCAAGAGAGACAGAAAGATGGGATGTAGAAAGTGAGATCAGAAATGGGGAGGAAAGGAACAAGAAAATACAAGATAAAGCTGGAGATGGGGAAGCAAGTGCTGAGTATCACATCATGCTGCACAGTAGGGGCTGTCCTGGGGGGGCCCTGGCCAGGCCTAGCAGCCCGGGTGCATGGCGCAGGGGATGGCCTCCATACCGGGGCAGGACTGAGATCCCAGCGCTCCCAGGTGTTGGCAGAGAAGTTGTACAGGATGAGGTCACCCAAGGCGTTGTTAAGGTCCTGCCCTGTGGAAGGTAGATGGTCTCAAGTCCTGGCCACTGGCTGACAGGCCTCCACACCCCAAATGCACCCTGCGTACTCACCTCCAAAAACAGCCAGCAGCCCCGGCTGGGGCAAATAGGCGCCAGCTGCCCCAATGCGAGCAGAGAAGGCAGGGTCCCCAGCACTCACGTTGTGCCACCAGCCAGCCCCCTGGTTCTCCCATAGGTGCAGGTCACAGGCGTGTCCCAGGAAACCAGGTTCACAGCGACATGGTCCCAGAGGCTGGGGAGGACATGTAAAGATGGGGAGAGAAAAAGAGGGACAAAAAAACAGGGAGGAGAAACAGACAGAGTCAGATGAAAAAGGATGAGGGCAGAAGGAGCAAAGCAGGGGACCAAATGGGAAAAGAAACAGAAGAGATACATGAACAAAAAGAGTGACAGGAAGGAGGAGGCAGGCAGACGGGGCAATGAATGAACAGGGGGGGAGACACAACCCAAGGCAGAGAGGGAGTCATAACAGACCGAGACCAATAGAAAAAAGGAGAAAAAGAAAGATCCAATCAGAAAGATGAGAATGAATGGATTGATGATTGGATGGACAGGAAAGACAGTACTCCAGGTTCAGATTGAGCTGAAGGAGCTCAGATCTAGCTCGGGCAAGGGTCCAAGGTCAGGGGTCAAAGGGCAGAAGTCATGGCAAGGATCCACAGCTAGACAAGAAAAAGGATGGAGTTCAGTATGGCAAAGAAGAGAGTGGGCCTCACGGGAGAGGCAGGGTGACAGATGAGGACAGAAGGTATACAGACTGGTCACAGGTGACGATGGGTGGAGGTGGAGTGACAGGTGAGGGTGGGATCTGGGTGAGAACTGGCTGTCTGGTGGGGATGGTGCTGTGGGAATGGGTGGGATGGCGGGGGCAGTCCAGATAGGTGGCAGGGTACTAGTGCTGAGAGGGGAGTAGCCACAGAAGGGGGGGTGGGGCTGAGCGGGGCCAGATGTAGGAGATGGAGCACAGACTGTGGGGACATGTCAAGGGAGCGCAGCAGGGACAGACTCACTGAAGCGCAGGTTCCGTGGCTGCCACAGTAGGCTGTGCACTCCTGCAGGCTGCAGTCGGGGCCGCCCCAGCCTGGCTCACAGACACACACCCCCCGGGGCAGGCACTGCCCATGGTTCTGGCAGCCCCCCAGACACAGGGAGAAGCGGAAAGAGGCGTTGAAGCCCAGCAGGTTGTAGTTGGCGTCACTGAAGAGATGCAGCAGCATCTGCAGACACAAGGTAGGCTGGGCTCTCGGGGTCCGGCAGGTGTGCCCCCTGCCACCCCACCGCCCCCTTCCCACCCACCTTGCCCGAGGCAGCCTCGATGGATGGAGGCCGGGTACTCCCACTCAGGCTGGCCAGCAGGGGCCCACGTGGCGAGTCGCCGTCATACACGAACAGGTAGTCGTATGTGCACTCCGTGTCCAAGAAGAGGAAGTCCAGCAGGATCCGGTGGCGGGGGCTCGGGGCTGGGAGGCAGAACAGAGGAGCTGGCTCAAATGGGGACTCCCACTCACGGACACATAGTCCTATCCCGGGTGATGCTGAGGGTCTGAAGTGAGTATGACTCAGCTCAAAGTCCAGAAAGGTCAGGATCCCAGGGGGGGGAGTTATACAGACCCACCCTGGACAGGGCCTCAGGGTCAGGTGGATGGCTCCCATTGTTCAACGGGAAAACTAAGTGCAGAGAGGGGTCACCCTGGTGGTCCCCACAGAGCAGGAGTCCCTAACTCCCTTCTTTCCATTTCTATGGGAGCCTCAGCCCATGCAGGCCTGAGCCTCAAGAGTCAAGTGAAAAGGTATACAAGTAATACTTCCTCACCTGTTCAGACAGAGGCTTGCCAAGCGTGTTCCTGCTGCAGTCTAAACAGAACTCTGAGAGAAGTCTTACCCGTCCCCCTAAACAAAAGGCACTCAGTTCCCCTCCGCCTCCACCCAGAATCTGTGTGTGGTAGTGATTGAGAGCGTGGTTCAAAAGCCAGATCACCTAGGTTCAAATCCTGACTCTGCCACTCATTCACTACTTACTGTGTGACCTTGAAAAACTCACCTAGCCTCTCTATTTGTTCTATTGAGTCTATCTGTTCATCTGTAAAATGGGACTAGGACTGCAGCACTGTGATAATCACTCCTCTCCAAGAGGTTAAGATCGAATTCTCAGCTGCTTTGATCTGGGATGGCCTTTGTGTTTCGCTTGGCCTGGAACCAAGCAGTGGACAAGGTATTCGGGGATTTTGAGGCGATGTTGGAAGGAGTCACAGGGTTTTCCCTTGCTTCTGGTGGAAAGCTCCCTCTCAGAACACAGCTGTTGGACATGAAAAGCCAAAGCCACTTGACAGGCTATGTGTCAACCACTTCAGCCCAACAGTCAGTCCTGAGAGGGTGCTTTCTTCACTGTCCAGTCCAGGTGAGCTTCCGATGACTGTCACCACAGCTGACATCTGACTGCAACCGCACAGGAGGTGACTATACACATAATGTGCTTATGAGAGGTCTGCCACTCCTTGCACTGTTACCTTTCTTGCTCTCTGCCGAGAGAGTGTGGTTCCCGAACATTCTCTCACCACACGTCGCACACTGAGGGGCTTAGTGAGACCTTTGCAGGATGTTCAGAGGAGTCTAATGGGACGGGATCCTGGCCCTCAGTACACTCACTGCATAATGGAGATGCTCTGCCAGCACTCACTAGGGGTGTCACCTTGGACCAGCCCCTTGGCTTCTCTGAACCTCAGCTTCCTTGGCTGTACAATGAGTTTCATTCTCTCACCCACCAAGAATGGTGTGAAGAGTCGAGGAGAGGGTGACTCTAACCCACCAGTCTGGAGCCGGGGTATGCCATGAACTCATGCTGCCCAACGCAGGCCCTGTCCCCCAGGGCCACTGGCCCAGCTCTCTGGCCTCCATTAAGGATCCCTGAGATTTGTCCCAAGGATCTGCCCCTGTCTCACACTTGTTCAAAACCTCCCCGTGGCAGCCCGTCACCTCCAGAAGGCCCAGCTCCCTAACCTGGCATCTGAAGCCTGTTCTTGTCTCTTATCATTGAACTTCTTACAAATAGCTCTATGGGAAGCTGAGTCTTTCCACAAGCTTCTCCCTCTGATGTGTTTGTTCATTCATTCTTCCCACCAGCAGGCTTTCCCCTTTCTCCAAAAAGCCTTCTCTGTCATTCCCTGTCATTACGCTCAGGCCTCTGGGCCTGGACCATTTGTGCCCAGGCTTTTCTCTCACTTGCAGCCTGAGAGGCACTCATCTGGAGGTTCCCCCATACCATTCAGAACACAAATCCTGGCCATGAGCACAGACTTAGGAAATGCGCACAAAAGAGTACTCGAAGGGGCAGCTCGCTCTCTGGCTCCGAATGTGGATTCCCCAGCATAGTGTTAGCCAGGCCACCGCTGAAATCAGAGTCCAGACAGGACTGAGCACCCTCTACAAACAGAATTCTGCCCAGTCCCCTGGAGGAGATACTGGATGCCCTCTGCAAACAGAGAATTCTTCCCAGCCTCCCACCTTGATGGGATGCCATATCTGAACTTTGGTCTTAGTTTAAAGATTAAGTTTACCCATTGTTATGTTGGCAACCATTAAGTATGGGGAAAATATTGTCTCCAGAGCTTGGACTTTTTTAGGAGGACTGGCCTAAACTAAATAAAAACCATAGGGAAACTAAAAAAGTGGCCTTTCACAGTGCTAAGGTTTCCTGTTTCCACTCAACCACACCAAGTGACCATCCCAAACAGTCAGGACCTTAAAACACATGTCTTTAAAAGCAGTCAGGCTGTCTCAAACTCACGAGGCTATTACAGAATTACTTACGATAAAGTATGAATGCAATGCAAAAGAGGGTTGACTGGTTAATTTTAATAGCTGGAGCATATGCTAGTATATACATGACAGGCACTAGAAAGAACAGGAAATCAAGGGGTGTCTGGGGGTCTCCTTGACACCTCCCTGCCCCCACATCCAGCAAGATGATGCCCAGGTTTCACTGATGAAGCCTCTCAAACTGTCCTCTCCTCACCATGTACTCAGGAACCCCCAGTTCAGGACTGATTCTCTCCTGCGAGACCATCACACGCAGTCTGTAGTCCGTCAGACTCAGGCTGACAGAGATACTGCTTTGCTAAACAAGACCCTCCCAAGGTTCCACATCAACATCAATAGAAAGGCCGAGCTGCTCCGTGTGACACTCAGGGTTGTCTTCCTGTGATTCTGGCTCCTACCTGACCTTGCAATCAGATCAAACTTAGAGGCACACCAGCCTCTTCATAGCTTCACTGAGAACATCTGCTTTTCCTACCCAGTAAACTCCTATGCATACTTCAGAACCCTGCTCCCCTGTGACTTCCCCCAGAGTCCTTTCCTTCCCTTGGATCCTCCTACCCAATCCTCAGAGTTGAGTGGCTGTGACTGTGTGTCCAGTACAATTTCTCTCACCAAGCTGGGGGTCCTCAAGGTCAGAGAATGATTTACACTATATATAATATATATACACACACACACACACACACACATACACACACACACACACGTATATGTACACACACACCCCCATTTCCCATCTTCTCATATCTAGCCTGACAGGAACTGCCCCCACGCTGAGCATAAGCATGTCCCTTTGCCACTAACACACACAACAGCTGGAGAGAGCTCTGAAAGCATAAATCAAGTCCTTCCCCTGTTCAAGACACGACCATAGTTCACACTGTCCCTGACAGAGACCAGGCTCTGTATTCTACCAAGGGAGGCCCCACATAGTCTAGGCCTTGTCAGACCTCTGGCCTCTGAGTCTTCAGTCTGGGTCACCCCACCTGCTTGGAATCCGGCTGCTCTATAAGGCCTTTCTGCACTTCTCCAGCCACTGCCTTCTGTCTTCTCCTTACTGTCCTCAAAACACACTTCAAAACACTACATCCTCCCAGCTCCTCCCTGGCTCCCAGCGTCACTTCAGCCCTAGTTTATTGGGTGTCCATGTGTATTCTGTGTTCTAGCGTGCTACACTTCTGATTCTCAAAAGCTTCACACTCTCTTCCCTAACAGGCCTTTCCAGGGGCTGTTCTTCTGCTTTCTCCCACACAAGCTTCTAGTCTCAGTTCAGACAAACCACTTCCCTGGAGAGTTCTCTGTGCTCAGGATGTTTGGAGAAGCTGCCCCCTCTTCCCAGAACACTCCCCCACCTCCTTTTCCCTTAGATAGGCCAAAATAAACCAAATCCATTGCCGCTGAATCAATTATGGTCCTGGTCGCATAATGCTTTACATGTTGGGTAGTAACCAAAAAGTCAGCAGCTGGAATCCACCAGGTGCTCTGAGCAAGGAAGCTGGCCATTCTTTGCTCACATTTATGGCTTTGGCAATCAGAGGGCTACTATGAGTCTAATCACTTGAAGCACAGTATAAAATTTATAGGGAGCTCTGTTGTGTAAGGAGCTATGCACAAAGGTGGGTGGTTCAAGTTTACCAGCTGCTCCTCAAAAGAAAGTTGGGGAATCTGCGATTTATAGCTACTGAAATGTCTCAGGTAGGAGTCAGTTCCAAATTAGCAACACTTAACAATAACCCAGAATTTCCAAGGCTATAATCTGTAGGGAAGCAGACTGCCACATACTGGGGGAGTGGTGGTGGGGGGGTGGAGCTGAATCCCCCCAGCTAGCAGCTGAGTGTTCAGCTGAGTGTTGAACTGGGGCTCCTGGACAGTTCCTATCTATTAATCCCTTAGGGGCCGGTTCAGATATTCACTCCTCTAAGAACCATCCCCACCTCCATACAGTGGGGGCCTCCTCTGGGCTCTCAAAGACCCCTGGGCTTCCTCCATTACTGTCCTCATCTTCTTAGTCTATCATAGTTTTGTATTTATATTTTACTTAGTTCTTAGTGAATGTTAACAAAGCAAGTTAGATTCTCATTTGCCAGTTTCCACACAGATTATTTAGTAACATTAGTTACATTTATCACAATGTGTCCATTTTCTCCCTTTTTGTTCCTATCATGCAAGCCAGGAGAGAGGCCCTTAGACAAATGACTTTGCAAACAGAAATTCACTGGATGAAGGAACTCTGCCCATGACTCACTGAACAAAGAATTTGGGGGTTTATAGAGATTTAAGGGAACGCTGGTGACTTAGTGATATGAAGGGGTAAACCCGAGGCACCCAGTTCAAATCCACCAGCTGCTCTCTGGGAGAAAGATGGGCAATCTCGTCCCTGTGTGACTTACTACCTCCAAAAACCTGCTGGAGGGTCAATCATGAGCTGGTCTGACTCCACAGTACATAACAACAAAACAGAGATTTAAGGACACTCTGGGGGTACAGTTCATAGGGTTGTGCTGCTAACCCAAAGGCTGCGACTCTCTGGAGGTTCGGATCCACCAAGGGCTCTGAGGAAGAAAGATGGGCTGTTTGCCCATGGGATTTACGGCATCTGAAAACCCACTGGAAGGTCAGCTATGACTTAGCTCTGAATTAACAGCAAAGAATTTGAGTTTTTTAGTTTGATGGAGATTTAGGCAGGAAAGAGTTTCCTGTTTATTCATAAAGGAAGATAGACAATTCCAGGAAATAGCCTGTAAAGGAGGGGTTATAATTACATGTATGCACATCTGGTTTTCCAAGATGGACTCTTCAACACTTTTTTGTTTCTTTGTTTTCTTTTCTCATTGTGTACCATCAAATCAGATCCAACTGGCACAGGAGAAGAGTGCCCCTCCTTCTGCAGCGGAGCATCTGGTGGATTCAAACTGTGAGCCTTCGGGATTGCAGCACAGGTTCTTGCCACTAGGCCATCTGAGCTCCAATACTCTTTTTAAGAATGTTTTGTTTTTAGCAAGCTCTGGTGGCCTAGTGGCAAGAAGCTGCACTGCAATCTGAGAGGTTAGTGGTTCAAATCCACCAGATGCTTTGCTGGGGAAGGAGGAACAATCTCCTCCTGTACCAGTCAAATCTGATTTGCCGGTACACACATACAAATAATTTTTAAAAAAAAAGAATGTTTCATTTTTTTCTCTTTCATTTCTCTGGGTTTTTTTCTGTTTTTAATTGTAATTTGAGTATTTACAAAGCACAATGCTTTTTTGTTCAACCATTCATGCATATTTTGTTTTACTACATTAATCTTGCAAATAGGTCTGTCTTAGAAAGGGTGAAACCAGGGCTAGGATGATTTATTATTTTTGTTGTTGTTGTTATGTGCCATTGAGTCGTTTGCGACTCATAGCGACCCTATGTACAACAGCCCTAAACCCTGCTCTATCCTGTGCCAATCACATGGCCTC